CTGAGAAGAAGAAAAACATATCAGCAGACTTCCAGGATGTATTAGTGGAGAGTTAAAACTCCCCAGAGGCTCTAGTTTGTTGTGATTGTAGAAAACTGACATGGTGGAAACTTTCTGTGTGTCTTTGATACATGCAAGCACAAGTTATGGTTGTTTGTTTCCACAGTAATCAAAACTGTTAAAAAAAACATGATAAAGATTTTCACTGAGTTCAGTCTCAGACTTACAGTTTATCTCAGTGTAGCTGGGAGCTGCCTCACAGATCGTCTCTGTACTGACTCCGGTCTATAGCTGATGCTGTAAGAGCTCCGTGTTAAATGAAGAAGAACTTATAGAAATGTACAAGGAAAGCAAGTCTGTTATGAAATATTGTCTGTGACTAGTTGATTCCAGCTAATATATTAAGTTTAATGAACTTGTTTGTCAAGTACACTTGATGCATAGATTCCTTCCAACTAACTAATCAACTAAAATGCAGTTGACTCACATTGTTCAGACAGCAGAGGTACTTGTATTTCTAAGTTCAGCGCATTGTTTCAAGTTATGTTTCTGTGAGGTTAAAGTTAACCAGTACATAATGTTTTCACAGTAACATTCAGAAGATGTTTGGAGGATGTTGAGAACAACATTCTCAAATCAACAAAACGTCAAAAAAACATTTTCAAGGTGTCGTTAAGTTACATAAATACAAAAGAAGAACATTCTCAATACTACATTCGTAAAATGTTTTAAAGTTGTTACTGGGGCTTGAGATGACAGATTGTTCTTTGTTAAACATTCCTGTAATGTTTCAGATTAACAAAGGTAGAATGTTTTGTCTGCAATATTTGGAGGATGTTTTGGGGATGTTGTTGAACTAATATAATATAGAGTATTATTTTAGTAAACTCTTTACAATGGTACGTAATACAAAGAAAGGTCATACTTATTGCAACATTTGGAAAGGGATTTCAAGATGTAGTTAATGCCTGAAAGATAGATCATTTCTTAAATATCTTCCTGGAATATGATGTATTTAGAAATTCACTGGCAAGGTCCTATTTAGTTATAGAATGCTTTAACAGGAGCAGCACTTATCACAGAATCTGAGTTCTAAGATGCCAACATGCAACTATATACATACCCACAAACATATGTGCCAATAGTCGTTTTACTGAGGTTGACGTTTGAAGTCTTGCGTAATCATTCTGCATTAGGCATAATGATGTGTTTATATACTGTAGTTAATGAAAAAGAAACAAGCCCTTTGACTCAAATGAACCCCATCACTTGCATAAAGCTGTCTTTGCATCTTCTCCTTTCTAAAGTGCTTTATATTTTGATATTGTTTTTTTAAAGTCAGCACAGTATGTCAAGGTGGAAGCCAAATGTCCCATTAGAGGCTGTAGAGACCATACTGTCCTCCTGCAGGGAGTCAAGAAAACATATTATACCTCCACATCAATCATGCAATGATGCATTTTCATTTGGTATATCCTGCACTTCTGAAGACACTCTTCTGTCAACTGTTAAAGATAATGAATCCATTTATACAGAGGTTGAATACAGCAAAGTCGCCATTGTAGGTACCATAAACATGTTACAATACTTTACTGTGGATTTACCCGAGTCCAGTGATGGAAGAAATATTTAGATCCTGGTACCAATACAACAGTGTGAAAATACTGCATTAAAAGGCAAAGCTCTTCTAAAGTAAAGTATTGATTTGGTCTCGCTGACTGATTTATTATTATATACGACACCATCAGATAAATAATAGTGACGCATTGCTGTGTCAGTAGCATGTTACTATTGGAGCTGCTGCAGGTGGAGCTAGTTTAAATGAGGTTCTATCCAGATTTGTGCACAGTTTAAAACTCCTAGATGTCTGAAATGTGATCCTGACTTCATACTGCTCTTGTAAGAAGACCAAAGGAGAAAAAAGATTTAAATAAAAATCACTAAAGCTGCAAGTTACATGTAGTGGAGCGGAAAAATGAAGTAGAATACTCAAGTAAAGAACAAGTACAAAACTGTACTAATGTCCAGTGCTTAACCCTCCTGTTATCTTTGGGATCAATTTGACCCCATTCAGTGTTTAACATCTCTGCATAAGTGATTGACATCATTTTTTCAGTTTTATTAAAAGGGCTATTTACTGAAGAACTTGGGTAAATTACTGCAGCCAAATTGAACCCAAGGATAAAAGATGTCAGTAAATGTGTCGGTTATAAGAGGGTTAAGTAAATGTACTTAGTTGCTTTCTGCCACTGCCTGACTTTTTTTCTTTTGTGTCAGGCTGGAACATTAGATTAAACATTGGTTGAAAATAAATTCAGTTTGTTCAGTAAACATGCGGGTGGATTTTATTTGCACTGTATGCAAACCAACAGTAGTTACAATAGACCTGTTAATAAGTGAAGAATTTGCCAGTCATTCTCACATAAACTAATGTGACATCTAAACTAGCTTTACAGTGGAGTTCATGAGTCTACGCTCAAATAATAGTTACAATTATTCAGCATTACCTCTTTTAAAGAACAGTGATTTGTTCTAAACTAGTTATATAACTGGTTGGGATTTACTGACCAGCCATTATGACAGAAACCTAATGAAAGTGGAGCCAAAGAAAATCAATCCAGAGCTGCTTAGGTAATTACACCCTTATCTGCCTCTGTGCTGCTGGATGTCAGTGCTCAGACACAGAGGCCTAAAAGCACTGCAAGGGAGTAGATTTACAGCAGTCAATACCAACATGCATATGTGAATATAAAGTATCACAAGCTCGAATTCTTTTTCAAAATTGGTGGTTTAGTTCAACTCTTTTTTTATTTTCTGTTCTCAGATCGATTGAGCATAATGCAATACCGGACAGCAGCTTCAGATTTGTTGATTCATTTATCCTGATGAAGGATCTTAGAGAACCAATGGGGTTTAGAGCATTGAATAAAAATCCCGACAAAGTTCAATGACTAAGTAAATAAATACTTAATAATTTACTGTGTATGTAAGTTAGAACTGCAATGACTAATTAGTTGATCCGTTGTTTGCCAACTGTTAATGTAATTGCTAACTATTTTGATAATTGGTTGAATCAGTTTATGTCTTTTCCAAAAAAAAAAAAAAGTCAAAATTCTCTGCCACTTAACTGTGAATATTGCCTGGTGTCTTTGTTCCTCTCTGACTAAACTGAATGTTTTTGGGTTGTGATGAAAACATGTGTACCCTCTGCCTTCATTAAACACAGATCAACATTTTTTGCCATGTTCTGTCATTTTACACACCAAACAACAAATCTAGAATCCAAAAAATAGTCGACAGCTTATTCATCAGTGGAAATCGTAATCGTAAGTTGCCCTGACGTAAGTGATCCTGACATTCAGATTTTATGTTTGGGTTCTAAGTAAGATGGAGGAGAGGAGAGTATGGCAGGAAATCAGCTCCATTACATCCTGAGCGCTTATGAAAGAAAAGTAAGGTGATGATGCAGCATGGTCAGCTTTCACAATAGGATAAGAGGAGGAGGGAGAGATGGTGGGCCAGCAGCCAGAAGTCCATGTCTCCCCTTAAGTCATTAGGACCGTCCCTGGAGAGAGAGTCTTTATGTCTGCTGCCTGTCAGCAGCTGGGCCCCCCGAAGCCCCCAGAGAGACTCAGTCATCTACACTGTGAACCTTTAGCTACTCTAAGAGAGAAACAGAGCTGCTGCTTTTGGCCTTTACAGACTGACTGGCTGACTGACTGCTGAATACATTAGAATGTTAATTACACAAGTGTTAATGAAGCATAAGTGGCAAAACTTATTCAACAGAAAACAATGTTTATAAAGGAAATGCTGTACACTGAGAAAAAGAATGGTTCCTAAATGGTTCATCAGAAGGCTCATTGACGAAAGTGTTTAGTTAGGGGATGGTTCTTCACACTCTTTATGTGGTTCTTTAAAGCACTAAAGGTTCTTCATTTTTATTGGTTGGGTGGCAGATAATAGCATAAAACTAGAGCTAAAGATAACTAAAGATAATTTTTATCATTGGTCAATAACTTGATCTATAAAACATCAGAAAACAGTGAGAAAAGTCGTCATAAATTCCATGTTTTTTGTCTGACCAACAGTCCAGAACCCAAAATATTAAATGTAATGTAATGTGAGAAATACTGCATTCCTGGGTCCTCTCATCACTTACACTATTATCAAGTCCAATGATCAAAATGGGACCTGGTGGGTCCACACATATCTATTCTGAAAAACAAAAAACTTAAAACAATTATATTTGCTAGATATTATTTGGAGCACTATTAATGGTGTGTACAGGAACTATTATTTTTCAGATTGTGGATTCAGTATACTATTAAACTAAGCTTTGTTTGAATGGTTTGGATGCTACATAATGTTGGTTTGTGTGTTTATATGAGGAGGATTTAATGCTACAGCCGATGGCTGATGATTTTTGACAGCTGATGTAACGTTCCAGCGTTCCTGAGCCTGATAGTGTCGGGTTAAAGTGCACAGTTCATCCAGAAACTCCATTAAAGGTTTAGGCGTTTCACATGTGTAGCACGGCGAGCTTTAACAGTGCACATGGAGCCAATACAGCTTTCTCTCGCATCTTTGGAGTGAACGGCTTAAAAGCCTCCTCTGGAAGCTTGTAATGTAGAGGATGGAGCTGAGAGTGTGTGTTACCTCAGGTCACATATAAACAGTTGTGTTACAGTGATGCATTTAATCTACTAATGAAGTCGGTTAGTGAGATGTAGCAGAGGAGGGAGGGTGTGGTGTGTTGGGGACCTTATCTGCTCCCTGCAGCACTGTGTGTGTCTGCGTGTGTGTGTGTCAGAGAGCTGAGTGTGTTTCAGTCGGGGAGGGGCCAGGTCCTGTCTGAAGATCCTTACGGTAACTCTTTACTCTTTCTCCAATTACCAAGTCGTATCACTTGCTAGCTTCCTGTTAGTGGTTCTGATGCTGCTGTCTGCATGTGAGCTCTTACTGCTAATGCTGCATTTTCTACAGCGCTGCACTTCCAGCAGGCAGGGCCCCGAGGAATACAACATCCTTAATGTGAGGGTAGGATTTTCATCTTCACGCTGCCATTTGAGAATGTAAGGAAACCGAGGCTTAATGTGTAGCCCAGCGTTCTGTTTTTCACTGTAATGGCAAAACGGAAACTCAGCTTTTCACATCAAGGCAAGATACAAAAGGATTTGGAGTTGAATTGTACATAGGAGAGTATTTTGACTGAACGGATGCTTGTTATTTAATATTTGATCATGTTGGCTGAATCTCCTCAGACATTTTATCTCTCTGGGCTCATGTACAGCTTGGGATCCTTCAGCAGAGCTCTTGTGCACTATTGAAATCACAGGTTTAGGAATGTTTTTCTCCTCTTTGCACATTTAGTTATATTTGTTTTATAAACTTTGATGGCTTTTAAAGCTGAAAAGGATTATTGCTGCTGCTTTGGGGCATCTGGCTCATATAATTAGAATTAGCGATGCACAATAACAGATTTTTGCTGATGGCTGATGTCTTAGAATACTGAAGTTGTTTTTTTTGTCCTTAACAAATTACACAAACTCATGTCAGATGCCCTAAATGCCCTTTAAAAAATGCTGTAATGGAACTTCTACAGTCATATTTATGATCAAGAATAGGGGCACACAAAATTTTTGATTTTTGCCAATATCCAAAGGGAATATAGTGGACTTAACATATTATTATACCTACTCTTATAGTGATGGCCCATTGGCAGGCGCAGACATAAAATGCAACACTTTTTTTCTCATTTTCAACCCATTTGTTCGTCAACACTGATAAAGATGATGCCAATATCTTCGTGCATCCCTAATTCGAATAGTTTAGAACATAATTTCATAGACTTTTGTGATATGTTTAAAGTTATTTCCCTCCTTTAATCTTTAAATCAGATCTACTTCACTCCTGCTGGACTGTGCATTCACTCCATTGGTAAATAGGAAATTACAGATTGAAACCTGTTCAGATTGTGCCCTCAAATAAACTCCATGAGGGAGCAACATTTATCCTGTCTGAGGTCCCTGCCACTTGCCATGAGTTGCCAATTTATTCCAAAATGTGGGTGTTTGTGATTTTGAATGTATTTCAGATTTATGATGTGTCATGATATGTCTTAAGGACAATCTCCAGAATGTTTGCGAGATAAATTTCCTCATTCTTTTTCAGACGTGCAGGTTTTAAAGTGGACTGCATCTCCTCAAATGATTTATCATATTTCCTGCGATATTTAAAATGTTAATTGCATATGGATGACTTAAATTCAGTAATCCAAACTGATGAAGTACTTTCTTCATGTTATCTTTCTGCTGTCACATGTTGCAATAAAGTGACAGTATGGATGACTGAAGGATTGGATGTTATGAAAAGTAGAGAGTTTTGCCAGCATGCTAAGCCACACCTTTGGTGCCTCACAAAACATCAAAGATGGATGAAGTGTGAATGCTCAGTGACCTGCGCTGATCTCCAGCTGTGACTTTTACATTTATCTTGTCAGAATGTTTACTCCTATCTGCATTTTGTATGCATTTCTTTAAAGACCCCTTCTGGTAGAAATCAAGTTTTTACTCTGTAGCATGCCCAAAGCTTTAGTCAACGCCATGTTTGAGCATTGCGGTGTACAGATGACAGTCTTAAAAATACACATTCAGACTTCCAAGGTTTCAGTCATAATTAACCAAAGTAACTAAGGGTGGAACTTTCTGCATCATAATTTTTCTTTAGATTTAGTGTTCTGTTCAAATATGTGACTGAATTACTCCAATATTACAACTTGTCACTGTGGAGCGTAATTTTACAGTGTTTCAGCAGAGTCGTTGGTGAGCTGGAGTGCTTGAGCAGTGAGTGAAAAGAGGGGTGGGGACTTCATAGATCCACATATTCTAGAGGAAGCAATGGTGTAGAGTTACATTTAAGTCCTTTTGAGGTTAAGTAGGATTATTTTCTTGAAGAAGTTTAAATTGATGACAGCAGTCATAATGTTATGTCTGTGTCTTTTTCATTACAGTTCCTCCTACCCACACCTGGTTGTAAGACACCCACTGCAAAACAGTAGAAGATGAGTAAGTCTCCGACCCCGAAGGGCACCCCGGTGCAGCGCAGCCCCAGTGATGGAGTCCCTGAGAGCCTCCCGTCTCCTCAGCATTCCACCCCTGGCTCCGGATCACAGCATAAGAAACGCATCTCCAGCCTCCTTCAGAGTCCCGTGAGCTGACTGTTTGTCTCTGTGGTTTATTGTTTTTCCTTTTCTTTGTCTCTCTCATCTCCAGATGTGCTTTTCTCCTCACATTAGAATAAATCTGCTCTTGACAGCTCGGCCTGCAGTCAGTGCTGAACCCCAATCTGAGTGCATGCCTGTGAGAGTGGAGCTGTGGAGCTACATGATGCTGATGAATCACTGTGTGGAGTGGAGAGGGTGATCATGGAGTGAAAGGAGTGATAGAATATGGCTGACTCATTAGATATGTTTACTCACCCTCGCCCATGTCGTGGAGGAGTGTTTGTTAATCAGCTCGTGTGTTCAAAGCCACTCATGTAATTAGAGCATCTTTCATATCACTAGGAGAAAAGGGGACAATCCAGTAGTGATGTATTGAAATCCTTTACACAGGACCTTTGAGCGTCAGTATTAAACTGAAAAGATTCATGATCTGTGTATACGTGCATGTGTGGTAATATATTAATGTCTAGTCTGTGTTTGTAGTCATTCAGAGAGGAGCTGGATGTGCTGATCCAGGAACAGATGAAGAAGGGTGGCAGCTCATCCAACCTCTGGGCACTGAGACAGCTGACTGATTTCATGGCCTCACATGGATCTCCAGCCGCCCTGCCAGTCTCCCCCTCCAGTATGTGTTTAAGACCTCTAAATAAGCCTTTAGTGTATTGAATCACTCCATTGTAACCTTGTTGACCGTATAAACATTGTCGTGTCTTGTGATACGTTTCCAGAGTTGACAACTTCAGGGACAAATGACCAGTTTAATGAGTTTAAATATTAAGTTACAAAACAAAAAGACATAATCACAATACCTGTTATTAGGAGGATTACAATTTCAAAATGCATTTTAAATAGACTAAAGAACAATATATTACAGTGCCAGGGATGCCCACTCTCAGGCTGAATTTTCAGTCTCTGTCTGGCCGTAAACTTTAAAGAGAGCACCAAAGACACAATTTGCATAATATCAGTAAAACTGTTTTGTTGTGAACATGCCACATTCACTTTGCTGTACAATTTCAGTTTATTACAGATTGAAACGTCTATGAAAGTACAACTTTATTCCGATGAAGACAGTCTGGCACAGGTCAACAACACTCACCAGTCGTCAGTGTAGTTAAACATAACAGGAACTGAAGTTCAGTTTGTTGCTTCAAGTATGTTAAATACCTGCAGAATCAGACAGGATCCATGTGAACATCTGCAAAGTGAGTTGCACACATTAACACACGCCATAACAACTTCCGTTAGAGGGCTACCTAAAATTTTAAATGATCCATTACATGGAGACATGACTGATCAGGATCTAACAGCAAATCACACTTGGTACTTTTCTTTACTTCAGATGTGTGAGCTGTCACATATTTTTACATTATTGTAAATATTGGGGTATTATTGTAGTGGGACTTATCAAAAACACCTCTGCATCTCTCCTGCTGGTCTATTTAAAGGGTTGGCACGCCAAAATTACGATTCATTAAGTTACTATGAGAAATTAATGAAAATTATGTGATGTCCTATCTGTAAATCCACAGTTCTTAGAATCTTGCTCAAACTGGTGACTGAAGGTTTGCACCTCTGCCATGCACATTACAGAATACACTTAACTTTCTATGTAATTAGTAATTGAGTAACCCTCCTATCGTTCATTATTAGCCTCTCTGTGCGTAGTTAGTGAGTTCCTCTCCACTGTGAGTCAGTGTTGTCAGCTACTAGCAAATGTTGTTACTATTAGCTCAGTACATTATTTTATTTTTAATCCAAGTGTTTTGCTGTCATCCTGAATCTCCATTAAGACTGGATTATCCACTATTATGCAGTCAGCTGCTACTCTGGATATTCATTTCATGATTAGACTGAGTTGTCTCCATTGATCATCAGGGCAAAAATAGAGGCTGGGTGTGCACACTGTGCAAGGTTTCCCTCAATAATCAATCACAGCAATTATGAATAAAACACTGTGGGAGCACAGCAGTGTGACAGGGCGGCCTACTTTTTCAATGAAGCTGCATCAAAGTTTGTTTGCTTGATTTGGAGAAAATATTGCAGTTTTTCTAACAGATATAGAGATTTATTTTCAGGTTCAGTTCAGTATTTATTGTGTAATTCCCACCTGAGATACCATCAAAACATAACATAGAAGATGATTAGGAATTTTTAGTAACACTGTGACTGCCTGCCATGGGTTAACTGATGACTGCATTCAGTTTACATAACAGATCTTATAGTACGTGAAAAGTAGAAACGATCTGAAAGCTCTGAATTTTTATTATTTTTTTGACATCCTTAAAAAAAAGTCAAACTAAAAGCAGCTCCAACTTGTCAGTTTAAACAGTAGCAACACTGGAAGCAGCAGTAAATGTGGACAGAGAGTGATTGATTCAGCGGGTGTGGGAGGTGTTGGCAGTGTCTGGTCACCTCTCTGTGTCTCCACCATAAAAGGAACACAGTCATGATTAGTGTTGTTAGTTCCACCTGTGCTTTTCTTGCTGTGAGAAAGGTCCGTGCTTTGCCACTGAAAATGTATGAATACAACCACTGTGGTAGTATTTGTCCACAAATGTTATTATGGTTGAAGGAAAAAAATTGTGATTGTAAAAATACTGAGAGATAACTGTAAATAATTAATTTGCCTGTTAAAGGAAAATGTATTTGTTGTGTTGCAATTTTTGAAATATTTTTATTTGACTAAAGCTGTAATGAGGGAGAGGTACTGCAGCACTGATGAAGTAGAGAAAATATCTGTTATCATGAAGCAGTGTGAATGGATGCTTGTATAGATAAACCTCATCCAGGTAAGTGATTTTAAATTACACAGAGGACCTGTGTGGGGGAAAAAAAATGCCAGTGCTGTTAAAATACAAAGAAAATGGCATTAACTAGATATTAAGTACCAAGGCTATGTCCTTATGTTGAAGTTGTTGAATGTTCATTCATCATTTCTATAGAGACCAGCCTTTACTGCACTCTGACTCTGTGTGCTTCTCTGTCCTCCTTCCCCACACAGACATGATGATGGTGACACCCATCAACGACCTGCATGGCTGGGAGCCTGGCAGCATGGTGAAGGGGGAGAGGTTGATGCGCTGCAAGCTGGCCAGCACCCATCGCCTGTTCGACCTATACGGCTGGGCCCAGATCAGCCGCACCTGTCTCACGGTTGGTTTTGTCACCTTTTCACTTCACATTTATTTTTTGCTTTTGCTGAGACACAACAATGTCAGTAGAAGGTTGTGAAATACACTTTATTTGGTTGTTAACATCCACAAGATGATCCGCTTTAGTCAGGTTGTCTGTGGTAATGAAGATAACTTCTGGACTTCTAGTAAGTCATTGATCGATCTGACAGCTATATTAAGGCACTGACTAATTCTGTTTAGAAAGAATGAGACAGGACATTTGAACTCGCAGTTTGAACAGTCAATACAGAAGAAAAGCGCTGCAGTAACAAGGTTAGGAAGGAGCCTGTTATCTCTGCTCAGATGATAGAAATCTGTGCGTCTGTGCTCTGTTTTGTTATTTTATTTTTTATTTTTTTGCTGTGCTAAAGGAAAAACTCCAGAAGAGTTTTCACTCAGTATTGTAATGTTCCACTCTGTTGTCATCATCTGTTCTTACCACTGTCACTCTTCCTCTCTGACAGCTGCGTGTGAGTAAAGAACAGGAACACTTCCTGGTGCTTCCAGACGGCCTGGCCTTCAGTGAGGTGACCGGATCCAGTCTGGTGAGTCACCATGAGTGGCACATGGGGCAGGTTTGAGCCTGATATGTAGGGGCTGGTAGGAGTTATAGGTGGGCAACGTAGGCACTAGTAACCCAGAGGTTTGCGCTATTACCAGAAGATTTGAGGCATTTTCCCTTTTACATTATTATTTTGTATGATCCTTGACATAAATGTCCATCCATCCATTATCTATACACCGCTTAATCCTCACTGGGGTCGCGGGGGACTGGAGCCTATCCCAACTGACTCTGGGTGAAAGCAGGGGACACCCTGGACAGGTCACCAGTCCATCACAGGGCTACACTTAGAGACAGACAACCAAGCACACTCACATTCACACCTACGGACAATTTAGAATCACCAATTAACCTCAGCATGACTTTGGACGGTGGGAGGAAGCCGGAGAACCCAGAGAGAACTCACGCTGCACAGGGAGAACATGCAAACTCCACACAGAAAGATGCCAGGCGTCCTAACCGGGGATCTCCAGGCTGCAAGGTGACGGTGCTAACCGCCGACCCACCGTGCAGTTCTGACATAAATGTGATAATCAAGAACTAACCGTGAACCAACATTTAGACCCCAAATTTATTTCAAACCATACTTGAGTTACAGCAAGTTATATGTTTTACTGTGTTTATTTCACAAGCAGTGGGGACTGTTCTCGTGTTTTGCTTTGCTCTGAGAGGCACATTGTAGGTGACTTTAGAGGTAGACTGTAGCCTGCTCACATAGTCAGCTAGAAACATCACTGCTATTGCCACTGGTATTTTGGACATAATGAATAAATACATTTCACAGTGTATGTGGGGCTTTCTGTATCGTCATTATTCTTCAGAATGGGTTTCTACTTCGAACATATACAACTGAATCACTCTAATATTACAACTTGACATTGTGTAGCATGGTGGGGATTTAGTGTTTGAGAAGAGCAGTAGGTGAGCTGCTGTTCTGAGCCGCAGTAAGAGACAATGGGGTGGTCATCACTGAGCTACACGTTTTAAAGGAGACAACATTTAGCTACATGTAAGACATTTTAAAACATAAATTGAATTTCCCTTCTGGGATAAATAAAGTATTTTTCATTTCATTTCATTTCATAAAGGATCATCATAACATCATAACATGCATATCATAACATGTATTGTCATAACATTTCACAACATTAAAATGCTGTAAAATATTCTGCTTCATATTATATTCTTGTAACCACTGACTGTGAGCAGATTCATCTAGAGCTTGTCTGTCCGCCTTTCAAAAAAAAACAAGTTTGGATTAAGTTCACCTGCATCATCATGATGCTAACAAGTTTTAAATAGAAGCAAGAAGCAGAAAAGTTTTTAAAACTGATTTTTCTTATAATTTACTTCCCTAGCGTAACACTGGTGTAAGCATAATATAGAGTTCTGACTTTGCTAACCAAATACTAAATGCATTTTAGAAGATGTTCTATCAAACTGTGAATATGTCAATATAGCAGAGCTGTTATGACCTCTCTGACAGACACATGCTGCTGGTGCTGTGTGGTTTCACAGGTTAAGGTGAACATCCTGGGAGAAATGGTGGAGAAGGGCAGCACCAACCTGGGCGTGGACACCGAGAAGTTCAGCCTGCACTCGGCCATCTACTCGGCCCGACCAGATGTTCGCTGTCTGCTTCACCTCCACACACCAGCTACAGCCGCGGTGAGTCAGTCTGGGCTGAGTTTGACGTGCTGGGTGGTGTGAGCTCACAGCTGGGTCCTGCAGTGTTCATTATGGCGCTTGATTTAGTTTTAGCCATTTGATGAAGATGTGTAGTAGTTTTAGTCACAGTTAGTGTTTTAATTGGTGTTAGTTATAGTCAACGAAAGCAACAAACATTTCAGTCTAGTATTCTTTGACAATTTAGTGTCATTTTGCTTTTATTAAGTTTATCTGATCACTTTGAGGCCACAGCTGCCACCATCTTTGTGTACAGTTACCATAGTTGCGGATGTTATTTTCACATATAGCGAGGTAAGTGGAAAAGGCTCAGTGTCAATGTCTCCCTGTACTGCAGTGATACAACAGACTCTCCTCAGTATGTCTAGTTATCATTTTAAAATGCTATTTGAACAGACCCATCTCTCTGCTCTGTTTTGCTTGGATTAGCATAAGCAGTAGCAGCTTATCCAGTCGATGTTTCACTAAGGTTCTTTATAGTCTGGGTTTAGCCTGAGAGGAGATACTCCAATTTTAAGGGCAGCTAGTTTAAATGTTAAGATGCAACTGACAGCTGAGTTGCAGAGTGTGATTCTACAGATGCTGCAGGCCAATGAATACAACTTGTATGATTAGTTCAATTTGAAAATGCATCTGTCTTTAACATTAATCCATTGACTAAAATTATTAAACATTTCGTCTGAGTTCCCATCTTCAAATATTACTTTTTATTTAATTCTATTTTTTTTCTTTACAAAAAAAAAGAAAAAAGGTCGACGGAAAATATTTTTCATCATAGCTTTACTTTATAAAATTAACACTGGTGTCCTGTCTTGTTTAGAGAGGGCACTGTTGTTGGTCAGAGCACACACACACACACACACACATACACACACACACACACTTTATACCCTAAACACAAAAAATCCTTTAAATTGCAAATTACACTGATGATTGTGAATGTTGTCTCAAAGCTGCAGTCTTCCCAATGTCATCTTGCTCTGTGTGAGCTCTGATAACATTACACCATTGTCCAGCGTGGATTTGCTTGTAAAGCACATTGTGACTCCAACACTATGTGAGTTGTGAATGTCATGACCTTTACTGCCATGACTGACAGCTAACTGTCCCCAGGTTTCAGCTATGAAGTCCGGCCTCCTGCCGCTGTCCCACGAGGCTCTGCTGGTCGGTGATGTGGCCTATTATGACTACAATGGAGTCATGGAGGAGGAGGAGGACAGAGTGGAGCTGCAGAAGAGCCTAGGACCCACCTGTAAGGTGAGCACACCACAAGACTAAATATAAAACGTACACATCAGCGACTGACTCAGCTGCTCCTGTGCCTCCCACATGAGCTTTGAGAATGAATAAATGAACAGAGAGAAGACACGAGGTGACGCGGCCTTACACTGGATTAATTATTGAAGCTGGTGCTGCTGCTCACAGCTCAGCCCGTTTTATTCCATTGGTGATGTTGATAATATGATGCATCTCAGGTGCTGGTGTTGAGGAATCATGGCATTGTGGCTCTGGGGGAGTCTGTGGAGGAGGCCTTCTACACCATCTACCACATCCAGGCTGCCTGCCAGATCCAGGTAACACACACACACACACACACACACACGCACACACACACACACGCTGCACTGACAAACAGCTGACGTACTGGAGACCAGAGTGCTGCCACTGCGTGTGTGGGTGTGTTTGTGTGGGAACTAGCATGTGAAGGGAATGTAGATGCACCAGTTTTATACCTGGGCAGTTGCCCTTCTCTTGGTACCCTTTCACTGTAATTCAGCCAGCAGCTCTGCACTGCAGTATAATACACCAGAGGAGTGTCATGTGCTAAAGAAACACTGCAGTAATCCTACAGGAACAGCAGTGGCCTGTAGGGAAGCAGATATGTGACTGTAAGGTCATATTTTGCCTCACACACAGTAAAGAGTGTTTAAAAAAAAAAAACGTTTTGTGCAGAGCTGTGCTTGTTTGAATGTGCATGTGTATGAAGCAGAACATTGCTGGTAACAGAACCTAAACTCAGTGACCTTTCCTTCTATAAAAAGAGTTCAAGAGTCCCTGCAGTTGCTTAAATTCGGTCTGTGTCTTTTGATTTTGCCAGGTGTCAGCTTTGTGCAGTGCTGGAGGAGAACACAACCTGATTCTGCTGGATCGAGCCACCCACAAACCCAACCCGACCGGCACCGTTGGCTGGGCTGGCTCCACCTTCGGACCACTGCATAAGAGTCGCATTGGGGAGCATGAGTTTGAAGCCCTCATGAGAACTCTGGACAACCTGGTAGGCAGCAGTTACAGTACGCTGAACAGACAATGTGTAGAGGGGTAGTTTAGGACACAAAAAACGTCAACATTTCGTTTACATATGAAGTTCCGTTTTCTTCAGTCTTCTGTAACTAATTCGGGAACTAGCATCTTTGGCATTGGACCATGGATGCTAGTGAGTCTCTTAGGAAGTGTAGAGTTCAGTGTTATAGATCTATAACAAGTCTATAACAAGTTTACAAATCAGGATATCCCTGCACTGATTTTATTAATTCTTTTTTAATGCATCTTCTTAAACTCTCTTAACTTTGTGGCAGTGCGACACTCATACTCTAGATTACCACTTTAAAGATTTGCTGGAATTAGAAGAGTGGCACACCAAAAGATTTAGGTGTGCTGATTTGCATAAAGTGCAGAAGGTTTTGTCAGCTGCAGTGCTTCATAAGCAGCTCACTGTGGCTGCTGCTGCTGCTGCTGCTTTTAGCTCTCCTCCCATGAAATATTAAATGAAATGAATTGAAAATATCTGCTCAGTACTGATTTTTTTGTGTGGTGCACATGTTCCACTTCTGTTGGATTCTGGGAATTACCTACTGTACTATAGTCTGACTTGTAAATCCAATTCAGCATCTTGCTTTTTTTTTTTACCATTGATATCTCTGCCCTGTTGATTAATAAAGAAACGGTGGTGGAAAGTAACTAAGTACATTTACTCAAGTACTTTACTTAAGTACAGTTTACTGAGGTTTGAAGTACTTAATCCGATTATTTCAAATTTATGTGACAGAGAGAAATTTGTACTTTCAACTCCACTACATTCATCTGGCAGCTTGAGTTGCTTTTTAGATTAAGGTTATACACATTAGATAATATAACAAGCTTTTAACCACAACACTTTGTGAAAGAGTAAAGGAGGGTATTTTCTACCAAATAGTATTTTTTCTTACATGGTTTCATTTCAATAGATGTTAAAATGATCCTACACTTCAGCAAAAAGCAAAATGTTAAAAAAACAATCCTAAAGCTTTTTTCCTTCATTCCTCTCTCATTATTTATGTTGAAACCCTCAGATATATTATCTGCTGTTTCTTAAAATAACTGTTTATAAAGTAGTCTAAACCTGCTAAAAGTAAATTGAACTAATCTGTTAAATTAGCTGAAGTCTGCCCTTTAAGATAATTAACTCCAGATAATAGGTATGCTCAGTAACTGTCACTTTTACACCACCAATTCTTCAATCCCACACTGTTAGATTTATTTATTTATTTATTCAGGGAATTTGATTGATTTAAAATTCTGTTTTGCACAATCATCCATCACACACAATAGTCATTTTCCTCGCCCTAAAAAATGATGTGATGCTTGACACTGATTAGTTAAAGTTGTAGAGAACAACAAGCACCATTTCTTCTGTCCTCTTGATGTCCTTGTCAAGTAGCAGTCCTCTCCTCTCTAACATCACCATCAACAACTAAAAATTTGCCATCAAGGCTAAAATAGCTTGTCTTCTTCTATTTCCTTTGTCCACATAAAATTGGAGTTCCAGTAGCTGCTATTTTTGTTGTTGTTGTTTATATATTTGTCCCACAAATATAAGTACTGGCCTAGTGCTAGAAACCAGCCTTCTCCAGTTGTCTTGAAACAGTTGGCTGTGTTCCTAATCATACACTTTTTCCTTTTACTTTAGGTTTATTCTACAGCTGCCCTTTCAAAGTACATGCTGTTTCATGCCGTGTGCATACAGATGGGTCGCACTACTCCGTCATATTATTGAGTCCTAAACGTTGACCGTCACAGTCTGTGGTGTGAAATGAGCTGTCATCTGTCTGGGTGCTCACAGTGGCTCAAGTTTGTTTATACTCGCGAGACACCGTGATGACTGTGACATAACAGTGTAGAGGATTGTGGGTCAGAATGGCCAGAAAAGCATGCAGGCTTGCATTCTGCAAAATCCCAACAGATGTAGTAGGGCATCCTGGTATTTTTGGAAATCTGTATTTAGCTTACTATGTATTTGGATGAACTAAATCTTTTTCTTGCATGCAGTAATGTAGCACTGGAATTAGAGCGCACCTGATGTGAACATTTGCTAGTCGTAACCATGTCCACCTTCCGTCTTACATCCTGTTACCAGAGTAAAAGCACTTTGACAAATACTGCTGTATTTGTTTCAGTTGCTTCACAATGAATACCTAAAGATCCTCCTGTGGTTTGCAAATGGAAAGCTTTTAATGCAAAGTAGCAGCATGAAGTCCTCATTTTGCATCAGCAGTAGCTTGACACAGGTCTGATACAGCTGCTCTGTGGAAGAAAAGTACAAACCACAAAAACTCTTCTGCACTACAAGCTGGACACGGGAAAATTTGCAGACATGTTGCTCCCTCTTTTGATGCCGGTGAAGCCACAGATATCAATAAAGTGCCAAAGTACTTAATTGATTTCACAGTATAGTAGTCAGTACCACGATTCAGCTCTACATGGCACAGTGCACTTTGAAAGAACGCTGCCTAATGTGTGTCTACACCCTAAAGCTTTCTCCCTCTGTTGTTACGCAGGGCTACCGTACCGGCTACGCCTACCGCTTCCCTGTGCTACTAGAGCGATCGCGAACACGGAGGGAGGTGGAGGTGCCGGCTACCGTCACAGTCTTCCACCAGTTCGATGACGACGGAGTCCACCCGGCTCTGAGGCAGCACCCGTTTGCCCAGCGGCAGCAGCAGGAGAGGACCCGATGGCTCAACACCCCCAACACCTACCAGAAAGTCAACCAAGAGCAAGCCAGCCCGGGACACCAGCGCACCACTGTGAGCCTCTAGGGAGGGAAGATCTGCATCAGTCTGGAAAAGCAGTACTAACAATATGTGTTAGAAGTCGCTGGGATTGTGATTCCATATATAATCCAAAAAACGTGCATCTTTTCTGCATTCTATAACCAAATTTTAGCTGCTTTGATCTAAATATTGTGTAATGTTTCTCAGTTCAAACAGCAGATTGGTAGACTGTGTCAGTTTGAATGTGAAGGGATAAAAATGATGAAAGAGCAGCAGAGAGATCAGAACCTGGACCGAGATCAAAGTGAGCTGTGAGGAGGGAAAGTAGAAAGGGCTTCAAGCTTGTTAAAGTTTGGAGTGATGCTTTTAAGATGATGCAAGGAGGAGGCGGACACAGCAACAGAATAATTAACTCTCTGTCTGTCTGATATTATATCTGATGTGCATCCAAAATCTGCCGCTTTTCCCCTGTGGAGACTGATGTAGACTGTGGAGCTTTTGTTGTAAATTTCCTGATACCTTAGAGGAAAGATGAAGCAGATGAGGCCTTTAAAGACAAAAACATTATGAGAGAGGTTGTCTTACAACAGTGGGAGGAGCTTGGCTGTTCTTCCCACCCTCCCCTCTCTCCCTCTTCTCTGCATTGCAGGGGGAAGCCCACCAGCTCTGTGAGGACTGCTGCAGTGCAGAGGCTGCCCTCTGCTGGAAAAACATACTCCATATTCATAAATCTCTCATGAAAACATAGTATTTTTCAGGAAAAAAATCTATTATTTTAAAGAATGAGCTGGCTTTTTCACTGTAAGCCATGTCTGACTGAATTAGACGGACAGAGTCTGCACACTCGGTAATCATCTCTGCTCATTTTTCTTTTAAAGTGGTACATAAGATGTTGTTTTTCTTTCCTGTAGTGGTTAAAGACAGAAGAGCTGACACAAGCTGGCAGCACAGCCATCAAGATCGAGAACCCAAACCAGTTTGTGCCTCTTTTTACCAACCCTCAAGAGGTGATTGAGACACGAAACAAGGTAACTTTAACTTGCTTTTGGCCTTTTCTCTCTCTTCCACAATTCCCATCTCTACTTTCTGCATACTGCCACATGAATCAAAAGTGTTTACAAAAATCATTTTGCCCTCAGATTCGACAGCAGAATCGTCAGGACATGAAAACTGCAGGACCACAGTCTCAAGTCCTCGCCAGCGTCATAACAGAAGACAGCCCTCCGGTAAACTGCAGTCTGTCTGCTTCCCAAACCTCTGGCTTCTTTTCCCTACATTTGCTCTTCAGAGTTTAAAATTGTGGTTTTGTGTTTTCGTCCTTCATCAGTCCCCAGTCAGCCCACCTAAAGTCCCACCGGAGCCAGAACCTCCCAACCCCTTCAACCAGCTGACAGACCAGGAGCTGGAGGACTACCGCCAGGAGGTGCAGAGGAAACAGGATGGAGGGACCGATGGTACACTTCCCTCAGCTTTCTTCACTCTGTTTGGCTTCCTAACCATATAACAGTAAACTCACCGTTGTTTTAGACCAGATGCATCCTGAAAGCAGTATTACTATAGAATTACATTATTGATAGTTGTTGTCTTAAACATTATGTGGCCAAAACCAGGTCATGTTTGCAAATGAGAGCTGGTTCTCAAACATTTTTTAACTGGTAAAATAAAGGTAAAAAACATCAACAACAATAACAAAAAAAAACGGTACAGACACTTGAACATCACACCTGTAAGTTAGAATGAAATATCTCATCTCATTTCAGCCACACTCTTACAAAAACAGGTTTTAGGTTCCTGCACTGTGTCCTTTTAGCTTTAGTCGGGCTCCAAAAACAGATAAAAAGACCTGTGCCTGAGGATCTGGCACACACAGTACTAAAAGGTCAGAATGAAGAGCTTTAAAGTGATGATGAAAATCTTACAACCTGTTCTAAAACATGCTGTGAGCCTTAGTAAAGAGGCTGAAACAGGACAGATGTACTTCTGTTTCCTGATTCAATTGATTTTCAGCAACTAATTTGTTTGTTTTAACAAGTTAACAGCTGTAACATTTATTGATGTGTTTATTGAGTTTCCTAGCTCATCTGATAACCTTTTACTGCCTTTTTTGTAGCACCATGAAAGTCTCTCTTTTTTTTTTTTTCTTTTGGCAATATAGTGTAGTAAAGGCGTCTTTATGTGCCGCCTCTCACTTTCTATACTGACGCATTTCACACTGTGTTCTAACCTTCTGAAGGGTGTTGTGTGTAGCATTTTAAATACAAAAACATCAAATTCAGCTTCAGTTTTCCACCAGTTTTTATTGTTATTCTACCATTTAATGTGTTAAATGGGGAAATCATTATCTCTGTGCTGTGAAGCAATTCAGCAGATTTACTTTTTTAGCATGTACATGACTAATGCAGTGTAGAGGCTGAAAGAGATTTGCAATCTTCTCAGCACTGGTCTTTTTTTGTGTTTTAACGTCATGTTAAATTGCGCAATCATTTTTGAGTTTAAAATGCTACACACAAGACATCACTCGTGCCTGTCGTGTAAACTGTGTTCACTTCTGTTTGTCTCACTAACCTGCACAGCTGAGCCCTCGCTGTCCCTCACTGTTTGTGTGTGTCTGTGTGTGCGTGTCTGTGTAAGTAGGGGAGGAGGAGGCAAATGACAAGGAGTCTCCCCCCGCTACCTCCCCGACAAAGGGCCCTTCACCCAGCCACCCTCCTCTGTCAGGTGAGGCTCGGCCGGGTGCTGCCTGTCTTGCCCTACGTATCTGAGCCGCAGCCTGCTTCGGGTCTTATACGGACTCACGTTTGAGTCAGCACTGCTTCTGCCCTCTCACGCTTCAAATACTCACTGACCGCCATGTTACTCCTCCTCATGTACAGCAGATATTGACTGTAGTGAAAACACTTTCAGGTAGAACTGGGCAATAGAGCATGAGATCAGTGTATATTCATAAAGATTCCTGAAGGGATTGCCTGTAAATGATCTTTCCATTTTCTATAAGTATAATATGGAGTGTGAAAGCCTCTGCTTTACTTAGGAAATGGTAATTTCATTAAAATTACCAAACACAAGATCCACTTTTTTTAATATTATTCTGGGGCTTCGACAGCAGGTGGCGCTTGGTCAGTGTGAAGCTGTTATACAGGCAGACTCAGCCACTGTGAGATGTGGTTGAAAGCTCTGGAAAAATCTTGGAAGTGGATACTTCTAAGTGTCTTTTGTCAAAATATAATATTAAAAAAGAATTAGGAACTGTACACATTAAAAGGAACTATGGAACCTTACAGAAGAACTGAGCGCACAGGGGCTTCTGCCTTCTCTCCGTATTAAATGATAAATATATATGATTCCATCTCATAATCTTTTTTGATTTGAATTCAAGGCTGCTCTTTTGACTGTAACTTTAACCTGATGTATCCTGTGATAAACAAATTTGTCTGTCCAAAACGTGACAGCTTTTCAGTTGCTGTAGTTAGTGATCAAAAAAAAATCCTGTTAAGTGATAACAAGCTTATGTCTGATAACATTAAAGAAATTCTGCCTCCACCCATTACAATAGCAGTGAATATAATTTCATTTGTATGTTTGTTTAAAATATTCAACAGTGTCCTCTCTCTCCAAAGACGACTGTCCCAGTTTCTCTGGATAATCGAGAGACCTCAGTACTGGAACATGCTTCAGTCGCTGTGAAAACTGTTGACAGCATGTTCTGTAGTCTAGGAGCACGTCTTAGTCATCCAAGTGATGTTTACACGTCAGATACATGAAGGAGTAACACGGGGTGTCAGCTTTTGTTGGTGTGCGTATTTGATCTTTGTCAAGAACGACATTTTGACTTCTCATACAAGTTCAACCCCGTTACTACAAGTTCATCTAATTAAAGTATGAACAAAGGCTCTGGTGCATTTTGCTGTACCAGTGAGCCTGCTCTGCCCTGGAAAATGGCTAAAAGTAAATGGAATGCAGCTTTTTTTAACGTTAATCGTTAAGTCAAAATGTCTGGTTACTGTTTGATTTACATTTGCTACATTTCAGCCCTTTGTTGGGAAATCCATCTGTCTGTGTATCCACTGTATCTGTTGTATTCTCTCCTTCTGTGTTTGTCTGTCTGTCTGTCCTTTTCTGTGTTACTCCACACTTGTTCATAGGGCACACTTCTGGTGCTATGGTCTTGTCTCACTAGTAAGTACAGAGAAACCGTACGACAACTTACTTCTCATTAAGCCAGCATGTTCATCTGCAGTGACGAGTCTAGCATGTAGCTTTGCAGCTGCACCCGACTCGGGACTTTCTGTGTCATTGCTTAATGCTCTGTGCTTTGTTTGTTTTTTAAAAAAAAAAATTAAAAAACTCTGAGCAGAAGAAGCAAAGACCGACTCTCCGGCCATTCAGAACGGAGGCGAGGAGGAGAAGCAGACGACAGAGGAGCTGGAGAAAGGGATGAAGGCTCTTTCAACCAATGACACCTCCTCCACACCTGCTGCTCCACCCACCAAACTGCAAGGTGGCACCCCCGAGGGCTCACCCTCCAAGTCCCCGTCCAAGAAGAAAAAGAAGTTCAAGCCGCCGTCGTTCCTGAAAAAGAGCAAGAAGCAGAAGGAGAAAGCCGAGACCTGAGACCTGAGCTCATACAGATGCACCAAACCTCGGTGAAATACTACAGTGAATTACTTCCTAGTTGCAGATGGAGTTTACCACATCAGATCTATTCCAAGAGCCATTTAAAATGTCAGACACTAAATTGATCCTCACTACTGCACCACTGCTACTCACTGATTTTGATGTATGTGGTGATTCATCTGGTACACTGGTAGTTGTTTTCACATACTATTTGACCCAGGTCGGACACAACCCAACATTTTGACGCACTACTTCTTATCACACATACGGTCCCTGTACTACTTACGTCTTATTTTCACCTGCTCTGCAATCGATCTGTTACTTCACTTCACTGTACAGGCATTCAACCATGTTCCTCTCTAAAAGTGGGATTACCGCTGTGATCCTGTGCAGTTGCCACTCAGAATTTGTTTCATACATCTTTTTTTTTTTAGATCCACAACTCTGCAAACCACAGTGGAAACAAAAGCCTCCATGAATTATGCACCCTTTCTCCATGTATAGGCACTTGACATATGTAGATTGACATTCTAGTACGTTGCATTTGTTCATCATCATAGGCATCTTCTAGTCACGATTTGGTTCTACTTATCAGATAGATGTTGCAGGTATACTCTGTGAGCACAGGTGCAGTGCATTTAGAAATATACTGATAGCTACTGATTGTGCTCTGCTGAATGCTGGTTTTGTGTAAAACTATCAGCCTGCTGATGTTGTTACAGCAGGGACGAACAAGGAAAAAGAAAGCGGGGAAATTATACTGGCTCGCAACAAAACAACTCGCTGTGAACGCTGTTATCAAAACCAAAAGGATAAAGAATTTGTTGCTTGTCAATGCAGTCTGAAACCCAGTAATAGAAGATACTAAAGGTACTAAACATTCCACTTTTCTCATTTTCTTTTAAATGTATGTGTGCAAAATACCTCTTAACAGTACTTACTTTCTGTTTGAACCAGTAGCTGTTATCAAAATGCTGATGTGTGATGTTTGCTCATGGTTTTATTTTATTTTCTATTAGAATGTATAAGTGAGTGTTGCAAGGTTACCATGTATCAGTCATTAAAGATCAAGTTTGATTTAAAATCAACACAGCATCTAGTTTCCGTCTGTCTTTCTGTGCTTCATTATCACGCACTTCTTTTCTCACATATTTTCCACACAATAGGTTGCAGAGTAAAGAGAATTCACAGAAGTATGAGTGCAAATAGCAAATTTTCCCTGTGGATGCTGGACTGTACAATAACTGCAACTGGAAGCTGAACAAGTATTCAGGTTAGATGCTTACACTTACAGATGGATGATAAACTAAAGGAAAAGCGTGAACCCCCAACCCATGCAGTGAGGGAACTCTTACTTTCAGCTGTGTAGAGGCATTTTAGTGCCGTGGTTTGTGTCCACTTGTCTCATTAGAAAGAAGAATCACAGCTCATCAACCCAAAGCTGTACTGAGGGATCTTCTTTATCTTATCATGAAACATTTCTGTCCGGATGGGATTGGGCTCTTCTTCAGTGACAGTGTCTCCATCCATATCGCATTACGAGTCACTGAATAGTTTGAGTGCACTATGGCCTTTGCCGTTTCTGGATCTCAACAGAGCTGTCCACCAGCATCATCAAAACACCAAACGAGAAAATGCATTTACGAAGAATGGTAATCATTCCTCCAGTAGAGACACAGAGAATCAATGCCACGAAACACTGAGGCTGTTCTGGCGGCATGTGGTGGCCCAATACTTTACCAAGACATTGTTGTTTTTTTTCCTTAGATTTGTCACTTTTCTGTACATAAAATGAAATGATCTAATACACAGGATCAGTTTAAAATACTGTAAAATGCCAGTTTCTGTTATTAGAGATGCGTTATGGCAAGTGCTGATGATAGTTTGAGTGCTGTCCATGAATATCTTGTCAGTGGGATGAGGGGTGGTTTGATCTTTGTTTTGCTTCACTGACTCAGTGCTGCAGTGGAGCGACCGCGCGCTCCCCTCCCATCCTGCAGAGGGCGCGCGGCTGCTGACAGCGCACCGGAAGTTCCAACACTCGACAAGACGACAACAGACATCAACAAAATTCACTAAACCCCACAGTTTGTTCGTGTTTCATACCACAATTGATTTCCTCTGAAGAGCTACATTTTGCTTTTGAGGGTAGCATTTGATTTGTTAAGAAGATGGGCAGGAGCAGGAGTCGAACTCCTCCGAGAAGAGGTAAGAAACTCCAAGTAGCTAGCTCATTTAGCACTAGCTTACTGTTAGCTCTGGTAGCGTGGGTTTTCTTTTCTGTTACACTATGAAAAGTAAGTTTGATTAATATGGATGTGCATATGTTTTTGTTTTCCATGATAATGACCACCTTAATCTGTGTAATAAAAAGACAGTTAATATGCTTCGTGTTTGTATGGCAGTAGCTGTGTTGTGTTGATACGCGGAGGTGAACAGAAGGATCCAGATGTTTGCTGAACTTATTCATAGTTTATTTAGGATTTCAATATCGAAAATTCTGCGTACGTGATTTGGAGGGCTGCCATTCAGTGCCTGTTTATCTATTAATAAAAATACCAACTATTGTAGTGATCAATCCAAACAATTCGAAAAAAGCAAAAGGGCCGTTGCTTTGAGTTAATCGTCATTGTGTTGTGCAGCACAGTGTGATCTATAAGCAAGTGTCTACATTTAAAAGTGCGTTACTGTAGAATTAAACTAGAAACTCCAACTTAGTAAAAACAATTACAAATTAGTCTGAATAGTATTTGAGCCTGTAGTGCAGTTCCAAAAGAAATCCAAGTTTTTTTCTAAAGCCCTGAAAAAATATAATGTGCTCTATGTAGTAGTTTGATTCCAAATGAAACCAAATGCAAATGTGTGGTTTATATATCAGGTAAAAGTAGGTACAGTTTTCGTTTTAGTTACTTTTTAAATTTTACTCAGATAACTGCAAGGTGGGATATATCATCTGTGTCATAAATAGGGTTTGGCAGTGTTGAACACAGGGTGTTGGATGATTTTAGAACATGAAATCGGTGTTGGAAGGGTAACAATCTGTTCCGCTGGTTGCAACCTCCAGTAGGGGAGGTCTGTGGGCATAGACAAAGGCGATAAGAGACCCAGGCAGCAGCGGACTTGTGTGCCCTGGGAGACCAGAACAGAAGCCACAAAGGAGGTGACAGAGGGTGAAGGGACTCCGTTATCAAGGGATATCACGTACTGTGATGAGCGAGGAAGGGAGCACACCACGGGTTTATTCATGCATCACCAAGGCCCGGTCAGAAATGATGACACTCCCTGCTCTGGCTGATTGATTTTGGGAGGACATCCAACTGACAAATATTGCAATTTGGTTTTGGATATAATTTTTGTAAGAGATTGATGGATGTTAGATTGTTGGGGTCTACACCAGTTTTTTAGGGAGTTCACCAAAATCCTTGATGCTTACAGTGAGGGGATCTGGTAGCTCTGTTATGCTGTAGGCCGGGGGCTGCTTTTGTTGGGGTGTGTTCCCTTTTCCCCCTCAAGCCTTAATTATATACCTTGTAGATGCACACATGGACAGCTGTGCACACCATGGATACGTAGTTGTTGCTGTTAAACTCAGATGTCCAGACTAACTTTTCTGCTTTCTCTGTTGGTCGTACCAGCATATGACTCAGTGATACAGAAATATCAATATCAGACAATGAGGGTTCTATTGTGTAATAGATATAAAACATAAGATGAAGCATTACCATGAACGATACCATCAAAAGTGTGACTATCGCACATGGAGAACAGCATGAATTTTAAAATCACTGACACAGCAGTGAAAACCCTGGGTCAGACATGCAGCATGAGCAATAGTCGATCTATATGTATCTATACTTGCTATATTAAAGTGTCTTAAACTGCAGCCTTAGCTTTTTTAACGCCATTGTTTCAAGTTGCAATTCTGATATTAAACAAATGAATGGTTCAGCCCTACCTCCTACTAAGAGTTGCTACATGGGAGTGTTTTTTCATCGTGGACTGCTCAAAATTCTGCTTTAAATATACCACATACAAATCTAAAATGTGACGTCTGAAGAGCATAAACACTTTGGCCATTGCAGTGGTGCCAAGACTTTGCACTTTAATATACAGTATGCAGTGAAATATCAGTATCTAATTCAATCTCGTAGTATGTGTAAAATCAAAGCCAGCTGACAATAGTGTGGATTACATTTGCCAATTATTTTAATATTAAGTGTCTGCATATTTGCTGTTCTCATATCAAAGAATTTTTCTCTTCGGTGTTTATCATAAACAGCGTTACTCTTGTCATAAGTCAGACTGAACTGCATTTTACAGAATACTGGTTAAACTATGCATCACAAAGCACTAATCCATTTATTGTTATATTTATATTTATTGCTATATTAAAGGTGTTTGAAGGAGCTTTGAAATCTCATCTGTCATGCAACTACATACTCATTTGTTTTAACAAAGAATTACCTGAGGCAATCTAAGGTGAAAGGAACACATAATGAAGAGGTAATATTAACACTAATGTATACCTGACTGATGCCATGGTGGTTAAAAAAACATGTCTGCACTGTCCAGTACCTCATTTCAATCACCTGGTGACAACTTGTTTTCCTAGTGGCATTAAACAGAAACTTGCATATTCAGCATTAAACGAAGACTCACATGGTGCCAGTGACATTCATAGAGGTTGTATGAGCATCAGCAGGGTGTTTCCTACCTCAGCATGAGCTTCTTAGGTATGACTGTGCATGACAAATCAGTCTGTTACCTTAGTTGATTGACACCTATGTAGGTTTTCCTATTATTTGTGGTCATTCAAGAAACAAAAATGTACTTTATGTTTTAGTAGATAAGACACCAACTACCAAACCAGTTTAACATTCAAAAAAATAATAAAATAAAATTCTCAGGTCTTAAACTTTTGGCACTAGTGGTTTTCCTTCAGTGCTGGCTAAAACTTTTGTAGAGGAAATTACGTATGCAGGTAAAATCATGGCTAGAAATAGCATAATCAAAGTATGTTACAGAGAATTGTAACCAAGTACAGAAGAAAATTCCCCACAACATCATTTTAGAGAAGACTGTTATGTCACATGAGAGGCTGTTGTGTAAAAAAAAAACATTCCCAAATGCAAAGTTAATGTCATGATCTCATTTCTTCCTCCCCCTCAGAGAGAAGACGCTCCCGCTCAGCTTCCCGGGAGCGCGAGCGAAGGCGAAGGGAGAGGGATCGCTCTCGTTCTCGAGATCGGGATCGTGAACGGCGCAGAAGTCGCTCACGGTCTCCTCACAGGAGACGCTCAAGGTGAGTTTTTCAGAACCCTGAATACGTTTTCATTTGTAGCTGTGTCTGTCTGAGACTTGATGTGTTCAGGACAACAATATGAGTAATATTTGAAAAGCTGCATGTTTATGTGTCAGTGTTCCACCTCAGTTGCTATGTTCATGGTGTTCCCCAGCAGTAATGTAGGACAAACAAAAATGGTCAATTTGAGACCATCAGTGACCTGTTAGAGGAAACTCTAATCAGTTTAAGCCCAGTTCACAAAAGGCCTAGTGAATTAGTCGAGAAACATTTTGTTCAGATTTGTTACTGTGTGTTTCCTATGTTCTTTAACAAGCACATTTATCACAGCGGTTAAACAAACTGTGAACAACACCAAGTAGTTCAGCTGCGAACGTGTCAGCTCTCTGTAGTTGTGACAACCCGTCCTGCAGCCATCTTTGTGTTCCATCTACAGGTCTCCTCCCAGGCGTCATCGCTCCTCCTCCCTCTCTCCTTCGAGACAAAAGGACAGGCGTGACGATGATCGCAAAGACGCTAAGGACAAGTCCGCAAAGCCTATTCAGATCTCAGGTATTAGATGAACAGCATGCCAATATTATCTATACATACAGGAAATGTTCTTTTTCAGTGACGTTGGTCTTTCTAACTGCAATTACAAAATTTAATAAAAGTATTTTTTTTTAACAGCTGAGGATATGAAGGACAAGACAGAGGAGGAAATTGAGATGATGAAGCTGATGGGATTTGGTTCCTTTGATACCACCAAGGTGAGAGCACAGTAGAGTCCTGTGTTGTGCTGCCACGAGGAGGTGCACTTTATTTCACAAAACGGTCACAGCATTCTACAGCGAAACTGAAGACATACTCGCTGCTTGTTTGCTTTAATTTAAAGGGGTGACTTTCTACTTTACTGCACACACTAGAATCTGTAAAGCAGCTTGCTTTTGTATAATGCTCACTATTCACATGTTTTTTCCCTTCACCATGTTTACGCAGTAAACAAAACTCAGTGATTAAGGTTTTTCATTTCTTGCATTATTTAGTTTCAATCTATTGACAATAAAGTGATGAAAATTGAAGAGATCCATAGTTAGAAAACCTGTTACTGGACAACAAGCTAGACCTCAGTGGCTTACATCACATTTATTGGACATCATACACCTGCAAAAGCTTTACGGGAAACACCTCACAATGACACTTCTTGTTTAATACTTTTTATCAGATCAGCAGCAGCTTGCGTTGCTCTGTGAAAGGAATTGACTTAGCCACTGATGAGGTGTAACTTATTTGTTGAACGAGAAGAGCTGGACAAAGTTTCTTATTGGGTTGCACAATATTGGATTTTTGTGGGTTTTTGGTATGCTGTTTTAAAACTTGTTATGGCCAATAATGATATCAGGACATATTTTTCTACCTAATTGCAGAAAACATGAAGTCTCTTCTGTTGTGGAATTAACATAATATCATGCCTACTCTTTTTGTGATGGCCCAGGTGGATGCAGACATAAAATACACTTTTACATTTTTTCAAATTTACATATTTACAAAATATATTCATTTTTATGTATAATTTTTAAATAAAACTAAACTTCTTTCTACTTTAACAGGCTTAGGTGATGCTGATCTCTGAGTCAATTCTGACAGCAGCCACAACTAGATCAAATCAGACTTATTTCATAAGTTGCAAAACAAGTATATGTAATCTTGGTCCACATGTGCCCTTTTGTGCTTAAAAGCACTGAGCATTACTAAGCTCCCTCTTATTTGCCTATTTTTAAAGCCTTTATTGGCCAGTATCACGTATCCCTATATCTTGCTATTCTTCTAAGTTGATTGAAACATTCCAGTATTGTGAAATGCTTATTACATATTGAGAGCTTTGAAGACACCTCTCATTCATTTGTTTAATACCACTTATTGTATATTGTCTCTCTAATACAGCCCTGTATTTGTTACATTGTTGTTTAGTTTAGTTTCAAACATTTTTATCCTCTAAATAATCCTCATGTTTTGAATTAAAGGAGGTCAAGCAGATGCATCTGCATTATATAGATTTGTGATACATCACTATTCATCTTGAGATGTGATATTTGAGAGGCAATAACTTTCTTTTTAAACAGGGGAAGAAAACTGATGGATCAGTAAATGCATATGCTGTCAACGTCACCATGAAAAGAAAATACAGGTAAGTCAACCAACAAAAAATAACTGTTTCAGATTGTATAATGTGTCGGTTTGTGGTCAGTCCATCAGTGCAGCACTTTGCTCCAGACAATCTTTGAAAATGTTCGATAATCATTTGTTATTTTATGCAGTAAGTTATTGTTTGAACTCCAGTTGTTGGTTATGTTGCTGAATTACAGTGTCAACTTTTCAGTCCCCTCACAGTGAGGACTCACAGCATCAGTCACTGTTAAAGTAGCCAATCACCTCCGCAGGTGTCTCTATGCAGAGATCCCGGCACTCCCATTGGTGCTCGATGATGTAATCTGAAAGTGTTGCGAGGGAAACAGTGATGTAATGTTTTCTTATTATTTTTTCTTTTTTTTAGGCAGTACATGAACAGGAAAGGTGGATTCAACAGACCACTGGACTTCATCGCTTAAAAGTCTCAACGACTTGTCTCCTGAGTTTACCTCCCCTTAGAGTTAGTAGATGGTATTGTGTTGTTTCTCGTTACATCTAACTTGTGTGTGATGCAACAATTGTGTGTATATACCTTTTCATGAGTAAATGCATCAATGTAAATAGTAGTACTTGGAGTAAGTCACAGCAGAGCATTGGTAGGAGCCTGAGCTATATGTTAAGATGCATTGTTTTATTTGAAATAAAATAAAAGCGTTTTGCAAAGAATACACAGGAACCCTCCAATTTGTAATTGCTATTGTGTTTCTACTGTTAGATCTACAATCAGGAATGTCCTTCAGGATTAATGAAGTTTTATCTTATAATTAGCAAATTGATGAATGTGGTCACATCACTATGTCAATAGGTGCAACTTAGTATCTGAATTAGACTCATCCTGCACTCAGATGTAATCGGGTTTGTATTCTTGTGTATGCCTGTATGTTGCTATGAGGGCAGTGTCCCCTAACTAATCTGATTTGGTGTTTTCTATAAGTGTGTCCTACTGGGCGCTTTCACAGCCACGATTAAATATAGTCTACGGTGAAGGACGAATTTCTGCTAATAGATCCGTGCCAGGTTGGCATTTGTCAAAGTCCAGGGTTTGTAGTGCTCTTAAATGAAGCTCATCATCCGTCTCATCTCGAAAAGGGATTTTATTGCTATCATGTTTCGGAAAACAATGATAGTGCGCCTGCGCGGAGCTATATTTTATGATAGGATAAGACAGAGACCAATACTAAGAGAGCATGTGAATCTGACCAATCACCGAGCACGAAATAAGGCAAACAACACTACGGGAGCCAAACATTGCCATACACCGCGAAACAGCATGGCAGAGGGGCGTGTCTACTGTCAACAGCGGGCGTTGTCACCTCAGCGCTTGTGCATTTTAACCCAATAGCTAACCAGTGTGTCAGAAACCAACCAATCACCACGTAGGAGTGTGTGGCACCGAATTAGCCTCCATTCTGGCGCTTGACTGCGTGTTTCAGCCAACGTGAATTAGAACCAAAATGGCTGAACCCGGCTCCTCAGTGGCAGCCAGTGCCGACCCCCTCTCAACGATTGATGGCTTAAAGGACAAATAGGAACTCGAGTTGTTGTATCCCGTATCCAATCATATCGCAGCACACAGGAGCTTTGTGCTAAAGTACAGTAGTTAGCTGCTGTGCAGATCAACAAGCCACTATTTTGGAAGCAGTTTGACAAACAGTCACTGTTCCCCAGTTGATGTCAGTCGCTATCTGCGTTTCCAGCGAGACGTATCACGCGCTATCAGCGATAAACCAGCACAAAACTAGCCAGCCACTTTGCCCCGAACCGATAAGGTTGGATGACATCGTCGGTTGAACTTTAAGACAGCTAGCTCTTTTTTTTACATTCATTTCACATCAGGCAAGTGTGACAACTGCACAGGCTAACGTTTTTTTGTTTACTGGCTGAAGCTTTACAACATACAACCGAGATAGCAACAACTTTCCACCGTCATTTGGCAACTTGTCATTAGCGCTAACGTTAGCCAACTTCATTTTTATTTTTTTTTGCCAAATACAACGGATTATTTTTATTTGTGAAGCAGCCCTTCGTTTTGTCAACAAGCCGCCTTTTTTCACAGAGCTGCTTAGAAAATCAACGATATTTAGCTAACAGTTTGGTTTAAAAGGGGTGCAAAGTATTTTAGCTGTTGTAGAAGTGTTAGCCTTGTTTCGCCAGCTAACGCCAAACCTTTACTTACACCATTATTTTTCAGCAGTCATCAAGGAAGAGACTAGTTTGGCTTTTTAAATTGGTTGCCGCTGTGTCCACGACCTTTAACTTTTAAATACCCCGACTGATACACTGCAGGAGCAACTCTTAACCGTCTCCTTTCGCCTTTTAAAAATAAGAAGTGACAGAACAGCGAGCTACCTGAGTGTTAAAAGCAGTGCCAGTGGTAGGACCTGAAGCAGGTTGTGTACAGTCACGGAATCCCTCATCGGATTGTTATATTATCAGTGTTATTGTTGAAAATGGCGGCGATCGGAATGGTGCAGATGTTGATCGAAGCAGCCGAGTACCTTGATCGCAGGGAACGAGGTAAAGTATAATTGTATTTTTTTTGCTACAGTCTGTTTTTATTCGATAAATTACAATGACACCCCTCCCCCCAAAATCATGCGAATGTATGCACATGTCATCTTAAAGCTATCTTAAATCCTGTTGCTGCCCTTTATTTATTTTTAATGGATTAAGTAATCGGGCCATGCATCAAATACATTACCTGGTTTTGCACAACAATACAGCAGGGTGCATCGCCAACCCCAAGCAGGTGCTAATCATTATTAGATATTACTGATGCATAATGCATATGTGCAAAGATAAATGGGCATTTGCATTCCTAATCACGAAAGAATGAATGCATATGTGGCAGATGCAGTCAGATGTGCAGGGAGACATTGTTTTCGTGGAGGCCCCTCCTTTCCTTCTGTTGTGGTTTGCTAGTGGGGTTTATTTCAGTTCAAGATGACATCATTGTCCAGGCTGAGGGGAGAAAATACTGTAGAAAGATACTGCAGGAAATCCATTCATTGCATGCCTGCACTTCAGCACAAGACATTGCTACTGAATTCCACAAGATCAAGCTCAACTGTGACACATTTTGCAGTCTCCCTATTCCCTGCTTTGCTTCTTTTCACTGTGTCTCTATTTTGCATTGCCACATATCAGGACATGTGACCATTATGTTGTTTATTTGCTTGCAGAAGCTGAACATGGCTATGCCTCCATGCCACCCTTCATCAGCAGTCGAGAGAGGGAAAGCTTGAAAAGGAAAAGCAAAAGCAAGAAAAACACAAGTAGCAGGTAAAGGCTATTCTGCTTCTTGTGGCCAAAACCTACAGACTTCATTGTTTTTCAGCTCTGCAACAAGCCGCCCATCATTTCTCCATTTCAAATGTGCCCCCACTGAGTGCAGGATTAAGCTATTGTTACTGGTGTTTGTGTTTCAAGTCACAATCATAATGTGCTATTTGTGATGACAGATTTGTTTTATGTGTTGGTGCTGTGCAAAAGAAAATAGAAATTACAAACTACAGCAATGCAAGATGAAACTGCAAAATAAGGAGCTCAACACTGATGTATGCATTGTGCATTGGGCAATGCATCGGTGTATGCATTGCCCAATTAAGGTATTAGGCACTCAGCTTACCTGACTGTATCACTGACAGCACAGTAATCTGTCAATGTGCAGCAAGGTTAAAAAAAAAAAACATATGTGAGATTGCCAATACCTTTCACCTATTTCTTTCATGTCAAAGACTCATTTAAGGCACTACAGAATTGATCCTCTGATAGTATAACCTGTGGCTGCATGTGTATGTGGGAGTCTGCCGGGTTAAGATCATGTTTTAGACTTCCCGTTGTGTTCTTTGAAATGTGTGACTGACAGCAGCAAACATCAGTACGGCTCAAAGTGAATGACCACTGGGTGAAGCAAACTGGGTCAGTCAAGGTGACTGCAAAAGACATTTCAATGAGGGAGCCACGTCCTGGCAGCACCAGTCACCTCAGTGGACACAAGTGCATTCAGAGCCTGCAACCTGAATTCCATAAATCAATCATTTGAGGACAGATTTGTGCTGCATCCACACCCCACAGATCAATGTGCACTCTGTGATTAGATTGCAGTTGGGTTTCATGACCCTGTGTCGGAGGATATATGTACATTTACTTTTTGTGCAGTGAGTTACGGCGTGTACAAAATGTACAAATATGACGCAGTTCTGAACTTCTGAGTGTGATTGTTTCAGTGGAGAAAAACGTGTTTCCTGCATGAAGGAAATTTTGATGCCCTCCCCTAAATGGCATTCAGCCAACACCAAAATAACATCACCAGCACCAAAATGATAAGAACTGACAACAAAAATAGCAATTCAAAATTTTCACCTACATTTGTGGGGAGGAATTACATTTAATCAAAGGTAATGCATGCTTTTCAAATAGTCATATATATCAGGAAATGCATATTTCTGCATTTTTGTCAAACAAGGTAGCACATACTAATCATTCTTACAGTCATGCATAGTCATCTCCCAAAGACGTATTCTGAGCCAGAATATCCCCTGTAGGGCCGTGATCAAAAGTGCCACCATATTCTATGTAAATGAAGATTTCGTGGAATATGCTTTCTGTCTACCTGTTTTCATCGAAGCTCACGAGAAACCTTGATTGTCAACACCAGATACAAAAAACAGTGAAATGCTTGGCTGAGGTCAGTATAGACATGATTTGATAACTCCTGATGGGAATAGCTTTTCAGTGACATAGGGGGACCTGCTTCTTCAGTAGATGCAGCATTGTCATATTGCTGACCTCCCTACCTTTATGTGCCCTCTTTTCATTAGAATGAAATAAATAAGCAAGTGATAAAAACACGCTAGGTGTTTACACAGAGGCGTTTAATTAATAATGCTGCGGTATAGCAGCGTTAGAGAAGAGCAAAGTGGGAGCCTGGTCAGATAATGTATGTTAACTATTCAGGCTGTTGGAACACTTTGTTGCTTGGACATCAGGTATATCAGCCACGAGGGCCACATTGCACATCACACCACCCTTCACTGGACTAAATGTCTTGTTCTGCCCATCTGACATATAGAAATGAGCATGCAGAGGACGTGAGAGGGAACATACAGCATAAGTATGTCTATTAATAGGCCTTACCTTGGAGAACCCAATGTATATCCAGATTTAAATGCTGCTTATCTGACTATGATAAACCTTGGATAAGGATGCATCTGATATGGATCAATGCACATTTTAGTGTCTTGGAATTTCAAAATCTTTCTCTGAATTAGATGTATTTTTTGCCATCTCTTCCATTAATTGTAAAGATTATATGTGACAAAACTTTAGTGTTTCTTGCCAATTTACGCAGATGTAAGAACCAGAATGCCCCACTCTATGATGATGTGTCTGATCAGAACAGCTACAAACATTTTCACATTTCAATATGCTCAAACATGTTGCACAAACTGGTTTGTTTGAAAGATACTTTGACCTGAAGCAACCACTAGCTGGCTTATGCCACACTTAATATGCAATGCATAGAGCATATGAGGTCAAGGATGTAAATACGCATATAAATAGGTTGTTACCTCTTGTGAACCAATGCATATTCAGCTATGTTATCCATACATCTGAAGTTTCAAGGTTACGATACACACATGCATGAGAGTATTTCACATTCAGATACGATCACCACCAGTACTCAATCACAGCCCGTTTAGCATGTCAGTGTATCACCCGCAACTAACACGGTTTGCTAATTCTGATACTCAGGTGACTTTTTTTTTAGATGGTGTGTCTAATACAAGTTCAATTCCAAGGTCACGTCTTCCTGTGTCTTGTTTTGTTTGTGACAATCAGCAACTAACGACATATAAAAAGCAGCAAATCTTCACCAGTCCTGATTATTAGTAATCAAGGAGACTGGTGATCAAATGTGAAAATCTTGGTGTTAAAATTTAGAATAACAAAAAATGTCAGCACACAACTTTATTTGTATTTCAGATATGTTTAATTGAAACACAAGTTTAGCTATATAATATATAAGCTATACCATTGTTAGACTATCAAATTCAATTGATTAATTTCCTGCCAATTAGTTAATGAGATAAACTTTGTTGATCTGTCACTGGGGAAATTTACATGAACTATCACAGCTGTAATCAAGTCTCAAGATTCAATTTCAGGATAAACAGAAAAGTGTTTTTCACTCCTTCACTATATGCATGTGGATGCATAAACCCTTCTCTTGGTGTTAATCAAATATAGCCAGGAATATGCCATTTCAATTTGTCTGTGTACTTAATGACGGTGACAGATTAGTTGTTTGCTTCCACTGCCGCCATGTTATGAAAGGCACAGGGTGTGCAGGGCTTCCAGCTCAGATCATGTCTTAACATGCTTAGGTGGTGCTACATTTTTAGACCTGCCTTGTGAAGAAGACGTGGGACTAGCTTGGTATGTCAAGTAGTTTTCCTGCTGGTGCAGATTTGCCCTGGTTTCCAGTCAGAAAACCTTTTAACTTACCAACATTTACATTCCCATTTACTATTGTTTAACTATAGCGGCTCCCTCATCGGCTGTGAACACGTTTTCAGCTTTTACTCATTGCTATTTAAGGGCAGCAGAGCCACACTTGTTATTAATAAGGGTTTCTGCACAGCCTAGATGATCCGATACGGTCCGATATGATGTTGGCCCTCATTCATTAATAGGCAGACCAGCACTAGTGCTGAATGAATTTTTCTCTTGGGGAAACAGTTGATTTGTGCCACAGAAGAGCTGATCATTAAGTGGTTTTTGTTGCTGTCGACATTTGGTCATATGTAGGGCAGGCAGCCATGTATGTATTTGAAGGCGTTGAAGCCAGTATGTACAAGCCCCTCCAGTATCTGTTGTTTTACTAAAGCATGGATGTGTGAGCAGTGGGGGAGGGGAGTCACTGTGTTTCTGGTGTGTATGTGTGCATGTGTGTCAGTAGTAGTGACTCCCCCCTCCCCCTCATCTCTCTCCCTCTTGCTTTTTTCCTCTCCTCACCTCCTCCACCCTTCTATGTCTTTCCTGTTCTGCTCTCACTCTTGGCAGTCAGTGGAGAACACCAGCTCCTCCATTACAGAGATGGAGAGAGTCCTCCCCCACCACACACACACACACACACACACACACATATATATATATATTCACACACTATGTAGCTACAGTGCACTATGGAAATCATACAGGGAGCCTACCATCCTTGTTGTGCAGGCAAATGTAGTCATTCAATGCTCATCCCACTGTGTTGTTGTCATTCAGGCTAATGTGGCTGAATTGGGTGAGGCTGGAAGAATTTTGTTGTTGACCGAGCAGAAGGACAGGTGCATCATCCTGAATCCATTTACTGCAGTTCAGTGGTCCAGTACAGTCTGATAGGTTGTTAAACCCTCTCTGTTTTGGATCACCAAAGAGATAGTAGCCCATTTAGTAGTAAAACTTTGTCAAGGGATCAGTATTGGAACATAGTTAAATTGAAGGTCTGCAATGTCACTGCCAATTAAAAAAAAACAAACACTCTGCTGCTTAATTTTGCCAAATTTTCACTTCATATGAACAAATGAAAGCAGCACCTGGGTTGAGCTGAGATTTGTTTTTCCTTTTCTACCAAGAATTAAACAGAGTTTATGGAATACAGTGATTATGTGATGTTATGGTGGTATGGTGATCCAATGCAAAATAAATGTAATCTTGTTTCTTAACCAACTACGATGAGGTGTGACTCTATATTTAGATCAAGGCTCCAGGGTAATTTTGTGATATGGGAGTATTTCAGCAAGCGGTGCATTATTCCACATTGCACACAATGAAGAATCTCATCCTTACTCACTACTATTTAATTCCAGTTGTACATTGCAGTGGCTTGGGTGTGTTCAGTAGAGGGGCAGACAGTTATAGGAGTTGAACAGGAGGTGGGAGGTGTCCCGGAGCCTGAAATCTAGTCTCAATAAGTGGGATCATTTCCCTGCTAGTGCTGTTATGTCACCAACGGCTGTCTGCCCCGCACAGGAATGTACACTGGCTGGAGGGGCCCAAGCAAGATAGGGAGCACCCAAAGTGACTAGTTGAAACAAGATGATACCCTGTGGCCACACACGCACCCACACACACACACACACACGACACCCGTACTGGTGACACTTTGTGATATGAGGAAAAATGGGGTTGTACTGCCAGCCTTTCTACATCATCTTATGTGGCAGGAGTTGGGATTTTTTTCAAGTGTTGTAACTAAGTTTAGTTTGGGAATAAGTTGTCAAATGTGGCAACAACATGGAGGTGAACCAAGGTGTGTGTGTGGACTTGTTCGACTATCATTTCGAGGACTCTCGTTGTTGACAATTGGAGTGAGGACATTTTGGTAAAGGGAGAACATTTGGGGCTGTTTGGGAGTTAAAACTTGGTTTTAAAATTAGGGTCAGAAATAGGTTTAGGTGAAGGTCAGCATTGATGTTAGGCACTTACTTGTGATGGTAAAGGTTAGGGTAATGGAGAATGTCGGTAAATGTCCTCACAAAGACAGCCATACGAACATGTTTGTGCGGGTGTGTTAGAGAGAGTCAGTGACAGTTAAGGGTCTAGCAGAGCTGAAAATGCAAAGGCTATTTTGGGCCCTTGAGTGGCAGGATCAGGGGGGTCAGGTGAAGGTGGAGGGGAGTTCAGGAATGCAGAGGTGATCTTCTTCTTTGCCTTCTTCTTGTCTGTCCCACTTACCCTTTTACACACAGGTCAGACCGACGCACGTCTTCCAAAATGTATACTTGACCCCGTTTCTGCATCTGCTCTGTCTGTGTGTGCCGCGTTAACACTGCAATGCAGGAGTCATGGTGTCCGGCCACTAGCACACCTCCATCTCTCATTTTACCTCCACTGTGTTTTCCCCCACCCCACCCTGCTCAAGACTACATGCACAATGGATAACCAGGCAATACGAAGGGGCATAGTGCCGTCTACTTCAGCCTGCTGTTTCTGGTTACTGTTACTATGTTTACTGACGGCCTCCTCATCACGTATCTGTGTGCAAGTGTGGTCCTTAAAAAAGCTTCCTCCATAGAACAGGCCTCGGGCATCAGAATACTCAGCCTTTTCTTCGTTTGTCCTAGAATCTCATTTTGTCAGCCGTTCTGACTGCTCATAGACTCCCACACAGCCTTTTCTCTCGCGCTCACTCCCCTGCAGTAAGGCCTTGGACTGCAGTGATGGCACATGGGGATGGGAAACCTTACGCTGTTTCAATCAGTAATTCTGTTATTATGTGTGGTTTTCATATGTGTTTTGTTTTATCTCCACAGGTCTACGCACAATGAAATGGAAAAGAACAGGTATGTTAAAAAAAAAACAAAAAAAAAACTTTCATTTTTGTGTGTTTGTGCATATTTGTGCTGCTCCTCAATAAAAATATCAATTCACACCACAAATTCAAGCCTCTACCCCAGTCCCCACCGCTCCCACTGTAGAGGTGGGGAAATTATGGGTTGTCACTGGAAGAAAAGGATGAGAAGTAAAACTTAAAAGCCAATATGTAGAATTCAAAAGTAAATAAATAATTATTCTTTTAGTAGTCAGTATAAACCCGACTGTAATTAAATGATAAAAAAAGGAAGTTTGATGTCAAAATGACAAGTTAATTCTGTAAAATATCAATTAGAAAATGAAAAGCCAGATTAAAAATTTTAAATGGATAAAAGGCACATTTGAATATGAATGCGTAGATTTTTAAATGCATTAGTTTAAACAGTGATGTGATGTGTTCGCCGACTCTCCTCCATGTTGCAAATGTGGACGCTAAAGAGAGACCGAGCATACATATGGATAGACAGAGATGAAGCTAAAAGTTGACCTTTTATCTAATAAATTATTCGATGCATTTCTCAGGCTTATCAGTGAGTTTGAATCGACGCAGCAGAGTCTCTGCTGCCAGTCAGAAGCAGGCTCACAGCTGCATATGAATGGGCCCAAATGTACATTGAATAGATCCATATTATACTCAATCATAGTCATATACAGAGACATTCTAAAGAAGAGACTTGCCTCTTGCAGAATTTTGAATAGAAATCTTCAGTAACACCAAGATAGTGGTTATATGACACGTCTCACCCTTCCCCCTAACAGATGAACCAGAAAATATGCAGCCAGTCGTATTATTGCACTAATTCATGTTCAGTATTGTATACTGCACATGAGTGCTTTTTAAGCCTTATTGTAGTGCAAAGTTCCCAGACTTTGTAAATAATTTTGTCAGATTTGACGAGTGATTCTACACATGCAGTTCATGCGTACTGGTTACCATTGAATTTGCAGTTGTGGCTCTCTCCTCAGTCATTTAGATAGGAGCCTGGTGTTGTTAGCTTAAAATAACTGTCTGGGGGCGTTACCAAGATGGCTGCCATGTGGTGTGACTTTTCATATATGTCTCTACTGTCTGGAAACGTTTCAAGAAATGTGTTGTTGTGAACTAAGGCCAATGTTTACTTTCCACATCTGAGAGTACGACGGTCCACATGACATCACTACAAGGGCAGCAGTGAGCATGCACGGAATATGTAGACACTGATCCACTGTGCATGTATGGCAGCGGACGAGATGGTCGTATAATAATTGCTTTCTCGTCCACAAGGACACATCTTGGAAGTCAGCAGCTGTCCACGTCTACAAGGGAGTAAAATTGACTTACCTGCTGCACGCATACATGGATTTTACTGTAAACGGTTCACTACATGCATAGTGACAGTGTCTCTGTCCAGCCTGATTTCTTGTGTGCATGTAAATGTACGCTGTGTACTGCTGAACTGATAAGCAAGCAGACAAGACAAGTTGGTTTGCAATTCTGATAATCGATTGTTTGCCCTGTGCAGCGTGCCTTTGCAGACGTGAAAACCAACATTAAGCAGGATAAGATGTTAACATGCAACTCAGGTTTTATCAGAATGACCCAGGCACCTTGCTTCTGAGTTAAAGCCCTATGCAGAAGCGTGTTTTGTCACAGCATGACATAACTTAAGGACAGAACCTGGGAAACATTTTTCGAGGTGCATTTTTTGCTAAACCAGTCGTCTCATGACATTGATTGATGGGTGTAATAATACTTTTGGTTCAGTGCTTAAAAAGGGTTGCGTTAACAGATCTATTGTTTTTTCACTGTGCCCTCCTGACACCGACGAGACAAATGAGGTGACATGGTTGTATCAGATGACTCCGTGTGCCCTTTGGCTCCTGAGAGCAGGTGATCCTGTTTCAGTAACGTACAGCTGGCCTGTCTGGACAACATTTTATGGAGCTGGTAAATGAATATCCAATTTTGGTCCAGCATTACTTTACCTATTTACTTGTTAAGCTTTATTTGATTGTGCTAATCAGGTTATGAAATTACAAAAGGATAATAATAATTATTAGATAAGATAGTATAGTTCACTAGCAAACATATACTATAAAAGTTAGAATGATTAGAGCTGCATGGATTGATAAATTGGTAAATGATTCTGATAGTCAAATAATTGCATGAGTCATTCTTCCAGCAAAACATTTACCTTTTTTTGCTGGAAGAATGACTCATGCTGTCATTACTTGTCATGCATTCCTTTATTGTATGTGAACGCAAACTGAATTTTTATTAGTTTTGGACTGTTTGTCAAAAAAACAACCAATTTTAACACATCTTATTATTAGGATTTTTAAGACCTTTCTTGGTGTTTTATAAAAAAAAAACAAAAGCTAGCAATCAGTAGAAAAAAATATTTAAAAAATAAGTGAATGTCAGTGGAGGCCCAATGATTGGAGTATTTTTTGGAAGGTGGTGAGAGAAATGTGCATATGAATAGAGATATGAGTAATATTTTTATTTCTTTTTTTCTCTGAGTTTACTGATTTAAAAGAAAATCAAAGTGCTGCTATTTGCACTGGAATATGAGTATTTCTATTTGTCCCAGCTGAGTCCCCGTCACTCTCAGTGCTTCCATCCTGCCCGTGCTAGTTGATCCAAGCCAGCAGCTCAGTGGACAGCCTGAATAATATATGGCACTGAGGCCTGTGCCTGGGATTTAACTGTCTGAATGTGTGTGCAGGGCTGTGTGTGCAGAAACACCTCACACCCAGCAGTAAGTCAAAATTACGACCACTTGAGAACGTTCATGGCTTTTAGCTAGTTTCTTCTACCAGTAGCCTGATGATAGAAAGCCATCACAGACAAATAGTAAATTAGTCATGGCAACCCACTGCTAGCAAAGCCGGAGGTGTACGACAAGACACACCTCCCTTCCAGCAATAGTGGCTCATTGAAATCACCACCACATATTCAAAGTCCTGTTTTGTTCCTTCCGCTGTTGCTCACAGAAACAGAAGCGTACATGTCCGCTTGCGTGTTTGTATCCACGTAACATGACTCCAGCCGCCATCCGCCTTTCTTACATTAAAGGTTCTCCGGGCAAGCCATGGCCACTCACTGTAAGGGGTCAGAGGACGAGGACAACGCAGTGATTTACTGCTGGTCAGGCAAACTGCATGAACTGACCTAGTCTGAGGTTTTAGTAGGTAAGAGGCTCCTGTGAGAGAAACCATTTTGGTTTGGAAGGGACCACACAGCTGCAACTGTTTTTATGTAACAAACGTGCACGTTCACCTCATTTCAAACCTAACGTGCACTCACACCAGTTATGTGCATTTAAAAGGCACACAAGTGTAAAATTTAGGGCAGAGAAATGTAGGTTCTGGCCTTAGGCTGGTAGCACACAAACGTGTAGCTCCACATATGTACTTACCTATTGACACACTGAACCAGAATAACCTGTTGCTGGAACAGCACTGTGAGCTAGGACCATGCCACTCAAACACCATGTGACCTGTGATGTTTGATGAGTCTGCTCCTCATCAGTGTTGTTTAACAAACATTATCTAGCCCTGCTGATCCCTTATTATGTCAGAACAACACAGGCGAGGACATTTCCATGTTATGTAATATCAGTCTGCATGCCCTTTGGACTGAGTCAGCTGAGAAACAGGCACTCGGTTTCAGCTGCTGAATACTGCTTTGTATGTGCGTGCAAGAGTTTCACTTGCAGTGTGTCTACGTGTTTGCTTTGTTTTGTTTTTTAAAGGGTGAAGGCCAAGAATGTTTGTGTGCATTCTCTGCCCACAGTCAAATCAGTTTTACACCTCTCCGTGTGTCCGATTTGAATAAACTCTTTCCGGCAGTGACGCTCACATCAGGATTGCAGCAGACAATAAATGAACAGCACTCCCAGCCCTCTGCTGCCTAATACAAAAAATAAATAAATAAAAATTTACACTCACTGTCAGGAAGAGTCTGACGTACACACACCCACTCGCTCAGGCAAACACAAGCTCGCAGACACGTACACACTCTGACGAGGCTGGAGCTGGAGGTGTGTGTTGTGTAACAGCAGGGTCAAGTGGTCACCAACACCCACCAGACCTTAGCAACTGCCAAGGCTGCCAGCTTAGAGCGGCTGAGAGCCGTACAGGAGGAAGCAAGAGTAGAGATGAGAAATGTAAATGGGAACTGTGTATGTGTGGGGAGTGTTACAGGACCGGAGACATTATTAATCAGTTCAGATCTCAACATATGTCACAGATGATCTTAGGATTTCTGTTTTCTTCTTGTTGAGGGAGGGTTTCCACACTGTTGCTCAATGAAATGTGCCAACACTATGCAATGATGTTACAATGCCGACTTCCTGAAACATGCACAGGAGGGTGTCATCATATTGCATAGAACCTTACGTCCTCTAACTGCCTCTCAATAAAGATGATTAATTTTTTATGTGTGCTGTAGCACACACATAGAAAAAATAAAGAAATTCCCCTCTGGTGTTTGGTTCGTGATCTGTAAATTGCATTAAAGGGGAACTCTGCTGATTTTACACCTAAAAATCTGAAAAGATCTCAGGGAGTTCTACTGCATACGTGGGAAAAAGAAGGGAGCTGCACAAAATCTGACAAATGTCTTCAACTAGTGACCCTTGGTGGATTGTAACTGAAGACAAGTGGTGGTGTGGAGAGTTTTCTTGAAGCTAGCAACACACCAAACTAATGAAGCTTCTGGTTCTGCTCCATTATTGTACAGTATGCTGTCACTAGAACTGCTGTTTAAAGCTGTACTATGCCCCATTTTATTAGTACCAGCGCTTGGTGTGCGTGCGAGCAGTGCTCTTCCTCTCCCTACAGGCAAAGTGGATGTGCCAAGAGCTTTTGGTTCCTCTCATGAGCACACTGCAGTTTCATGGTTACAAAATGAGAGACGTGGCTACAAATACGAGACAATCTATGGCAGGAATTTCCAGCTTCGGTCCTTGTGAGTTACTGTCCTGCAGGTTTTAGATGTTTCTGTACTGCAACACACCTGACTCAAATGAATGGATCATTAACAGACTTGTGTAGAACTTGACAACAAGCTGTTGGAGATCCATTAATTTGAGTAAGGTGTGTTGCAGTATGTAAACGTCTAAAACCTGCAAGACAGTAGCTCATGAGGACCGGAGTTGGAGATCCCTGATGTATGGGTTGTCCACAAAGTAGATGCATGGTGCAAAATATGACTTCTTCTTGTCCCACCCACTGCACTCTGATTACTAAAATGAATAGTAGCCTAGCAGCACTGAATGACAAATCCTGAAAAGTTGTCTTTTAGCTAAGAATACGTAAAACATAAATGAACAGTGAAGATTTGTGTTATTTGAAATCTTCAAATCAAGATTTTAATATGTCCAGCTTGGCAGATATCACGCAGACGGACATGCTCAAAGATTTTAAAGAGCAACAGGTTCCAAATTATTCCATTACTTGTCTCGATGTTTTAGGTTTTTGCCATGGTATCGTTTTAAAATCGGTATCAAGGGCAGGTATTGTATCAAAGAATTTTGGTATCATCTTAACACGCTCAACAGCATAACCTCAACAACAAAGAAGCCCTCTCTGTTCTTTTACTAATTGTTTTAGCTTCCTGTTGACACAGTTAGTGCGAACAGGTTGCACTGTCTCGCATGACATCTAATGCTTGTGATCAACTGGAGCCTACATAATAGCAAATATGCAACGAGTTTTAGCGTCAAATTTACAGCGGTCTGATACACTTTCACTGCTAGTTACACATTGACTCCAACTAGGTCAGTTCTCTGGCCTCATAGCATCAGGATTGGCTGGCCAGGTCACTGTTAGAGTAGTCTTGGTACCTGGTTATTGTGTTTTACGATGTGTTTAAACAATATGATGCCAATACATTTAAAGTGTTGAAATGTGGGAATTTGGTACGTGTGCTTATGTAATATTTTGCCAACCAAAATCATACTTGAGACGTGATGATTAACAAGCTGAACATTTCCAATAATATTTTCAAAAAGTATATATAGTATTACAGAGCTGGCTGAAAAGAATTTGTGTTTAGGTAATCACTGGGTTTAACATTTCCCAACTTGGAGAGGTTTATAGCAGGCTGTGTGAACCCGTCTGGACCACAACTGTTGATGAAATCTAATAATACAGAAGGCCACATGATGTCTGTGTTGGAAATTGCCAGATTGCAAAAGATGACATGGAACACCTGCTCAAATTCATGTTGTACTTATTTTGCAAATTATGGACACATTTTTTTTGTAAAGTTACGAGTTTATAGACAACATTTGATGTCACACAGACATATTTGAAAAATCTGGGTTCTAGCTCATTAAAATTTCAAGATATTTCATTTGGAAGGTTCTATTGCCAGACATAAGAAGCCTCATAGTTCACTGTCCACTCTGTGTTTGTACTGGAGGCTTCATGCTTGTGCACGTGTTGGACCACAATCGACTTCCAAGCTATGTAGTAGTGAAGCTAAAACGCTCAAATGCAAAACACACTTTTAAGTCAAGAAAAGTAAGGTGTCAGAAATGGTAACTTCAAATCAGAAATGACAAAAACAAAGCTTAACTCTTGGTGCTCTTGCTAGATTTTTCTTCTCATTTCATGGTCTTTATTAGTGGATGGAGTAGTCATGGTAATGGCTGAATTGTTGTCACTTCCCCTTACATCCATGCGTGCCTGTTGTTGGTTTGTCTCTGACTATGGAGGAAAGAAATGATGCTTGACAGTTTCCTCCGTCTTTGCTTCTTTTGTCCTTCTAGACGGGCACATCTACGGCTGTGTTTAGAGCGCTTGAAATCCCTTGTTCCCTTGGGACCAGATGCGAACAGGCACACCACCCTCAGCCTGCTCATGAAGGCCAAAGATCACATCAAGGTACGTGTATGCCTGCATGCACTTCTCACCTAATCACAGCAATTTGTTGACCACTGCAGTGAGTAGGTGTGTTAGCTTCGTGTGTCTTTCCCAGATGAATGCTGGAGACATGGACGCACAGATGGCAACAGCTGCTCCTAAAGTGTGTTGTTTTCTCTCCTGCAGAGGTTGGAGGAGAGTGATAGGAGAGCTCAGCACACCTTAGAGCAGCTACAGCGGGAGCAGAGACACCTGAGGAGGCGTCTGGAGCAGCTGGGGGTGGAGAGGACCCGCATGGACAGCACCGGCTCGTCTCACTCCTCCGACAAGTCCGACTCTGATCAGGGTGAGCCCACACACAGGCAGAAGTGTGGCCATTGTTGTTTATTCACTGGACTTTATCCTTTTAGGTTACTTTCATTTATGTAATTATTCAGAATGTCTAGGTGAGATCTAAGTGTGGTGACTGAATCTCACCAGAAATCTGACACAAGGAGGATTTATTATAGCACTCCAGAGAGAGAAGATACCTGCATATCTGCAATACATTTAGAGCCTTGTCAAGGATGCATGTTTTTATTCATCTAAACTGGTAAAACTCATTTAAACTATTTTGTAACAATTACGAAACCATTTATTAAATGTATTAATAAACCTTTACATAAACCTTCTTCATATAAGCTCGAAAAAAGTAAGTAAATGGTTAGAAGTTTAAAAAAATATCAGTATAATTTGCAGTGAATAGATGACTGACATTAAAGCAGCATCTTAAGTCAAAGTCATTTATTTATGAAAGTAATAAACAGTCTTGCTGTTCCATAAAACAATCAAAATTCCACATTGTATTATCACAGTTTAAGAAAATGTGAATAAGTCAGGCTTAACTTATAGGACTGTAAACCTATTTGAATCAAACTGATCAAAAAATAATCACAAAACAACATGAGCATAGAATTTGACCATTAAAGTTAGATACTAATGTATAAATATTTATAAAGATGTTTATCAAGATTGCTTCTGATACAAGGCTTCTGATATTTTGGAAAGCAAATGTGTAGCCATTGACATAAATTATAGTTCAGTTCCATTCAGCTGTCTTAATAAGTCAAGACAACAATCCAAGAGTAGCCCGCACTGGCACGCCTAAGAGTAACACACAGTAGTTCAGTAGTTCATTCAGTTCTGTTTTATATTATTTATTTAACACCATTCGCAACATCCTCTAGCGATGCTGCATATAGTGAAATGAAAAATTTACATTATGTTGTTTAAAGACATCCAACAAATCCAAACAATTCCCAATGAACAAGCTGGTTGTTGACAGAGAAAGGAAGAAACATCCCACCGAAACAGGAAGGGCAGTCATCTGCCTTGACTGGTTTGGTTGAGTGTAAAGGGGAGAGACAAAAGCAGAGAGAAACAGACAAACACCACAAAGGAGAACATTAAGCAAAGGACAGGTTGGTGAGGCCAGAAACCACAAGCCAGAAATACCTACAGACAGGACAAAACACAAACTGCAGTAGAGAGAAGACTTAAAGTCAATGACATGCAATCACATGCTTAATGTTTTTATGTACACTTATTTCTAAATGTCTGCTGAGCCCCAAATGCAGGAGAATCTGGACTTTGTAGATTCTGCTTATCAGTCTGTTTGCGTTGCTTCCATGTGCTTAACAAACTGTATAAACATACTGAAAATGTTTGTCAGGTTCAGTCCATTCCTTTGTTATATGTTAAACCAAAAAGATATTTCACATAGATTTCAATTACAAATTGAGCTGGATTTTTGAAAAATTTCAAAAATGATAAGAGGTGTCGACCCTACCATAAAGGGAGTCCACTGAACGATGATGGGCAATAGTATGTTTATGTGACTAATGTCTTTTTCCTATCTTAATGTACAGGGACACATGGGCTTGACATGAAAAATGACTGCATTCATACAATAAATGTACATGAAGCATAGACGGGACATGTGCCAACATGCCCGTCAAAGATGAAAATCAAAAAATATTTAAATTAGTAACATGAAGTCAGACCCACTGTAAGTTCACATATACACTCTACACTCTGTAACTGTAACCCCATAGCTTACAACCTAACCTCATACCTAAACAAAGATAATGATACGCAAAAATAAACAATGCAAATTAGAATACTATTGAGACATTATCATATTCCCTCAGGTATTTAAACCATGGGAGAGAGTAGCTGCAGGTGCAAAGTGTGCAGCTGCTGCTGCTCATGACTGTACAGGTGCTATAACAACTGATGGGAGAGACTGTATATAACCTTGTTTAATCAGGACAGATTAAAGTAGTAATATGAGCTTGTGAGCAGCTGTCAGGGAAACTTTATTAGATAAACAATAATGTTGAGTTGCCATTTAGCCTAATAACCATGTTGTCTTTGTGTTCCAACAGAGGACCTGGATGTGGATGTGGAGGGGACGGACTACCTGCTGGGTGACCTGGAGTGGAGCACCAGCAGTGTGAGCGACTCAGGGGACGAGCGAGGCAGTCTGCGCAGCAGCTGTAGCGATGAGGGCTACTCCAGCGCCAGCCTGCTGCGCCTGCAGGACACTCAGGAGAGGGCCAAGCAGCTGGGCTGCAGCCTATAAACAGCACTGGTCACTGACCCAACACCCACCTCCTCCCATCAGCCAATCCTGTCCCAATATTGTCTCACCACTCCTCGGTCCTGGTCCTACCTGACCGCCCCCTCCGTCTCTTTCTCCTCCCTTCCCTATCAGGACCGACCAAGTCTGAGGCCGCTCTTCGAGCCGGGCCTCGCACGGTGGCTTCCATTCAGACTGCGACCTCTCTGAGACACCCACCCACATCCAGCCCATCATCAGCGGTCAGTCTTTAAGGGTGTCACCCGCTCTGCTCTGCACCAATCAAACGAGCGGGGTTTTAAAGACACTCCAACCCCTCCGCCCCGCCGTCCGTCAGAAACACAACTGTCAGCCAGAGAATGTTACCACACAATGTCCCACTGCCTCTTTTTCTATGCCTCAAGAGCCATGGGAAGCACTTTTCACCTTTACTTCACACACATACATCAACACACACATGCACACACCCCTCCATCGCGACTAGTTGTCCAGTGAGATCTCCCAAAGGTGTGACACTGACATGATGTGGGGCCTTTTTTCTGCCCCGCTCACCAGTCAACCATCTGTGCATGGTACTTTGCACTTAAAATTGCTTTTGTAAACAAAACTGTGTCATCTCTTTCAAACACTGTCTCTTAATAACTTAAAGGCCCCTCGCTGCAGCTATGGCAGTAATGTTACCAGACGAAATGAGTGTTTGAAAAACATGTCAGTCTGCAGACTCTGTGGACATTAAACTAGACTGTGCGTGGTGTTAAACTGTCGGGGCCGACAGCAATACGTCCCTTCGTACCCGAGCTTTGGCAGGCAGACTCGCAACTACCCTGTAATTTTATGTCCACACCTGCCATTCAGAGGAAAAAGTAACAGAAAAACAAACAAAAAAAATCGTGCAGCATGAGATTGTGAAACGGGAGCTCGGGGAGGGTTTTGGGGGTGGGTTTGATGTTTTCTGCCTCTCTCTGATGACGGTGGCGTTTTTAGCAGCTTCCTTTTCTCATATGTGTGTTTGTCACGTCTGAGCCTGGCGACGACGGCGGCTGCTGGCAGGTTTGGAAACTTTTAACACCAGCCACCAGGCCGAATGCTGGTATATATTAGCAGGTGCTGGTACTTTTGTACACTACTCCTTCACTGCCCCGTTCACCAGGTACTAACAGGAAAGGATGAGCCGATCTACTGAGAGCAGTCGAGAGACTGGAGCACATTCCACTATGTAGAGAAGACAGGCAGGTGAGACTGAGAGCACTATTTTTTGTGAGTGGATGTTCCTAAAAATTATTTATGAAGGGAGAAGAGTTTGAGACGAGGCGAGTCACCCTGAAACAGAACGACTGGCTTTGACTTTTCGGTGAGAACACAAGCCTGAATCTTTCGCTGAGCTTGTTCACATCTGAAAAGCACTAAAATGTTAAAACCACAGATTTTCTCTCCTTTGCCTTGCCTTCATAGCTATTTATTGTTTCTGCAAAAATGTACACCTTTTAATGTAAATAGTTTACAGAAAGATCTCTATGTCTATCAGCAAATGTATTTATTAGATTTACTAAATATATAGATGAATATATAAAAATATATTTAATTAGTCATAGCTTATGTTCTTCTTGTGAGGTTTATTGAGAGTTTCTTATATGTAGTTTGTTTGCACAGCCTAGTCGATCCATAGAGTATTTAGAACTTGTCTCTTGTGCCTCAAGGTTTTTGTGTCTGTTGAATTCGGCACGATGCTCCTAGGAAATGAAATGTTTTATTTGTGGTTGACTCTAACTTTTAGCTGTTTTCAAAGCCATCCTGCCCTATTAAATGGAGGAATAATAAGATTAAAAAAAAAAAAGAAATCAGAATAACTTGTAAAAATGTGAATTAAAAAGTATAAAAGCGAGAGGAGCCGGTGGCCAGGCTGAGCGGGGCGGCAATTCCTCCGGCAAAGCTGTGTTGCCTGCTCGCCCCCCCTCCCCAGTGCTGAGGAACCTCAGACAAAATGGCTGCTTGGCCTCATGAGATCTCAGCCATTCGCACGGTTTCATCGCGGGCAGGGAGAGGATCGCAGATTGTTGAATGTACACGTCCTCAGACCCTGCAGTGTAGCAGCACGGTGCCAAAGGAAGCTCCCTGCCTGCTTGTGCACGCGCCACTCGCGAATCTCAGTTAAAGCATGAAGATGGTACACCAAAAAAAAAAGAAGAAAAAAAAAACACCAAAAAAAAACAAAATAAGAAAAAGAAAATCGGAAAAATAGATATAGGCTTGTTCAGTACTTTGAGTGTGGAATGCTGCTTATTTCTGTCAAGTTAAAACCTTTTCAAATGGAGAGGAACTGTGTAGCCACGCTTAGAAAGGAAATGTATTGGAAAAGTAGGTGTGTGTGGGCAGGTGTGTTCACTGAAATGCCATCTGTCGGTGCGTGCATGTGTGTACAGTATGCAAGTGTGTGTGTGTGTGTGTGTGTGTTTTTCGTCACTGTCTTCAGAGAGAAATATTTGGGGTGGTAGAGGGTGGGTGGGTTAAAAAACAACAAATTGTTAGGCTGTGTTTCTGTTCTGGTTTCCTGTTCATTTGTTTACTAGTAAAATGCAAAAAAAAAAAAAAGCCAACTTGTCAAAGACTTCATGTATTAACCTGAGCGTTAATGTCTGTCTGTGGGAGTCTCATGTTTCCTCCTTTCTTTCCTCCATCCATGGCCTCTTATTTGTCTTCCGCCAAGCTACCTGTGTATACGTACGTACGTGTATGTGTGCGTTTCCCGTATGCGTGTTTGCCAAGCGACCATGTGCGAGCGCAACTCCCTCCTCTACATGCTGGGTTGGCATCCATGGTGCAGGGAGGTGTGCGAGTGTGTGTGTGTGTGTGTGTGTGTGGTGGAGCAGCTAGTGTATTCTGTGTGTCAGATCTCACATGCAACTTACTGTTCCTCAGCCGCCTCCCTCCTTCCTCACTCCCCCCAAATACAAAGACCCTGGTGCTCTCAGCATCTGCCTTAAGACGCAGGTGTGGAATCTCTTAAAGAACAAGACTACAGTCAGACCAGTTGTTTAAGCTACAGCTTCCAGCATCAGAGGGAAACTCATGTTCCTGTGTATTTTTGGTTTTTGCACATTTTGTCCCTGCATACAAAGTGGCTAATAATGCCTTAAAACAGACACAAATGTACGACCTAACAGAAGTATATGATATGTATGAGTGTTTATGATATAGCGACATGTATCACAAAGGTCATTCCTTTTCATTGTGACGGTCTCAGGCATGGTGCTTTCATGCATTTACACACAACACACACACACACACACCGCGTCATAGCTCCATGAACATCGTCGTCACCTGCCGCCTTTCTCCTCGGAAAGGTCAAATGTCTATTTGCTGACTAATAACGTTAAGGTGGACGTTTTGTGCACTTACTTTTTAAAAATTGGAGAATTTGGACACTGTCTTCTAAATAAATCACTTCAAATGTGGAGAAACAAACCCTTTGACAATGAATTGTGAAGCAGCAATTTATATTTGCCAGTGATATTAAGGGAATAAAACATTTGAAACCCTTGTTTACCTACCTATCTCCTTGTCGTGGTCTTTATTTGTGGTTCAAGATGCAGAAGCTTGAGCAATAATTATACTGAAAGGACAAATGAAGGCTTTAGCTGAGGATCCCAACCCACCGGTTTTTCATTCAATGAATAATTTTAATGTAGAGGCTGAATAGACAATAATGAGGAGGTTTTAGCACAGGAGATAAAAAGAAATCCTCTACGGGGGCTTGATCTTCGCCAGCCATCCAGTGTGCTTCAGCGTTATCTGCTGGCCAAATCCCATGTTTGTGTGATCACAGCCATCTGACTGCTGCTCAATAACCAATACACACTAAGCCAGAATAGGAGAATGGGAAGAAAGAGGGGGATGGGCATCTTGAAAAGCATCCCGCATCCCTTCTGGAGCCGTCTGACTGCTGAGGGGGAAGGGAGCCATACAGTTACATCTCTACCATGAGATCTCTGTAAGTCCAAACCACCTTTAGTAACACTTCAACAATAACACTTGGACTGGTTGTGACATCTGAGCTCCAACAGGTGAGATAAAAATGCAAGTCTTGTCCATGCATTGCGCCTTCGCCCAAATGCACTTCACATTTACAAATGACTGTTTTCACAGTGAATGTTGACTGACAGGAGAAGCTCAGGTGCAACAACAAATCATGCAAAGTGTCCCATTAAGCCCTGACACTGAGCCAAGAACACACAATACCAGGAAGTGCTTCATCTACATGGAATGCACACCTGATTTTGATATTATCAATTACACGCATGCTTTTCCTGCTCTGACACGCCAAAACGTCTGCACAGTGATTCATTCCAAAGTGAGCTGATGGATCGAGCTGACATGGATCTTTGACACATTACATGTCAGTCAGACATCCCAAACTTGATGTAATTAATAGATTAAATTTGGGTTCACAGTTACTGTCCACTAAGCTGGCTGTGTGTCCCAACCTTGAGGAGACCCTTTAACAAAATAAAATATTTTTAAAAAAATATTCTTGAAATAATCTTTCCTCTTCAGAACTGGGTTGTACCAGCTACCCCAAAAACTTATCATTAGCTAGTTTGAGACTAGTGACCTACTAAATTGGGTTTGACCATTAAAACCTAACCCTAACCCCAAGTAATGTTGAATAATAAAATATTTTAGGTGGTAAAGACTTAAATAATAGTGATGCAAGCACAATATTAAAATTTCAATCAGCGGTTTTTCACATCGGTTAAATTTGTTCATCGGACCGATACAGATATGTTGAAAAAACACTAATATCGGCCGGTACCAATGTGATCGCCGATATATCATACATCCCTATTAAATAATGCTGACTTTTGTTTTGCTAGGAAATATCTGCAGCATCCAATCAGCTAAACAAAAATACACTGTTGCATAACTGTAGCATAACTTTCAAAATGTACAGTTTTAACAGACTAACTGAATATTAAAACGTAACCCTTAATGTTTGTATGTATCACATAGTTTTATTGATACATACATAAATGGAGGAATCATAAGTTTCAGAGTTGGTTGTATTAACTAATGTAGTTGAAAATGAATTGGAAGTGTATGGCCATGCTAACCTAGCTAACTGACAACTGGCATAACAGTTTACATTCTGATGTATGTGGTGTTATTTTCTGTAAAAATGCATATTAATAATCTTTATTAAACAGCCAAGAGCTAAGTTAGACATGCCAGCCATATTCTGTTTTTCTTCCCTTACACCTCACTTTGAACTGGTGACATATTAGCAAGCTAACATTAGATTTATCTGTGAATTCCATTAGCCACATAACACTTCCTTCAACAGGCAGCTCATGTGTCTAAATACGTAACAGAGACTAATCTCTCAATGAGAACTACTTTGTGCGTTTGTTACTCATTATAATTTATTGCGTACATTTCCACATAGTGCTACTGACCAACTTGCCTGAACCCCTGAAGGAGTGGCATGTACAAGTATTGTGGCATCATATGTAACAAATTTAAAGAACCAAAATCCTGCTAGCTTGCAAGTGGAGCTTTCTGTATCATTTTTCTTCTTTGTAATTAGTTTCCGGTTCAAATCTGTATGGCTGAGTTGCTCTATTAGTACAAGTTGCAGTTTGTGTAACATAGAGTAGCTTTACAGTGATGGAGCAGAGTTGCAGAGGAGCTGGTGTGCTCAAGCTGCAGTGAAAACAGAGAGACAGGTGGAGAAAGAGGTGGGGATTTAATAGAGCTGCACATTTAAGAGGAAGCAACAGTGTAGTTGTAAGCCATTTTAAGGTAGGAAGACATTTTCATGAAAAAAACAACAACTTTGAAACACAGAAATGAGCTTTACAACTATCGGAGAAGGACTTTGAGTGTTTCATGACAGTATGAAAGTGGACCTCTTTGTACTTGAAAAATATCAACAATTGGTTTCAGGTTCATTATTGTTGAAACCCAGTTATGTGGCCTCGCTGTATTTCTGTCAGCTGTACAGTGTTGAGGTCATTAAGATGTGTGGTGGGGGAGGTACAGCAGGGTCAGGGCTGTCAAAGAAAGACATGAGAGAGGCTCAGCACTGACAGAGTTCAGGATGGACTCTGAATGACTCACTACAGCAGAGTGCACACCCTCAACACTCTGGGCTCATTTTCATTGTTGGAATGACCTGATGTCCTTTACCACAGACTCAAGACTGCTGTGACTACAGTTTAACTTTCTAGCTAACTATATTACGTCCTAGCCATATCCTCCTTTAAATCACACTGATCAAAAGAATCCACTAAAAGAAACATTTTACATTTAATCTGCACATGAAACAGGAGACAAACACTGCAATGCAGCTACGCCTGAGCCAAGTACAGCACGCTTCAGCTGAGTGTATTGACATAACATACAGTCCCTGCTGGGGTTATGTTATTCACGTAGTTGTGTAACCGCATATTTGTTTGCGGGTGTGTGTCAGGGTCACAGGCCTACTGACCCAACTCTCCACGTCCTCATTTGTCAGATTAGTCAAATCCAACAGCTTATCCCGGACTTGCACACCCAGCTTACTTTGACCTTCGCCTCCCAGCACCATCCTGACCAATCACACATGTACACACACTCATGCAAAGTTCCTTTTAGACACCTAATACGGGGAACACACCTGCGTGACATATACACACCCACAAGCATCACAATCAAACAACAAATGGCGTGTGCCATGGAAACACAACAAAACCAAGCCCTTGAGAACAATTGAGTGAGGACTTAAGAAATCTAATCATTTGTGAGCATGGAGTCACTAATGAAGAGCACATAGAGTAATGAGTCGCTCCACCCTCAGAGTCTGCCTACAGTCATGGTGGTTGCATGATGGTGATGATTAAGCACAATTACACCTGAACTGCATGTTTCTTGTGATCAATAATATCTATTGTTTTTGATTGCACAAATGAAAAAGGTCAGGTAAACTGCCAGAGGTTTTAAAGACAAAACACACAGAGCTTATGTACTATACTGAGAATGAAATTAAAAGCAACATGTGCAATATAGGTTTTTATATTTTGTATTTTACTAGTGTAATAAGCATCAATTGTTTTCTTCCCTGTCAACTATACATCTATCTGAAATTAAATCAAAAGTACAAGTACAATGTGCAAGGAAATGTAAAGATGGTGTGGCAGAAATCATTTACATACTGTTGTCCAAGGACATTTTTAGGAAATATTCAGAATATATAAGCTATGTATAACTTTATTAGAGACTTAAAATGAAAAAAACTTCAAAACTTGAATGAGTTCCTCTGTTTATATTACAGATTTTTTCCTGTTTAATCTTGTTACCCCAAATTGCCATAGCAGAGCTGATACTAGTGTTTTTGCATACCATGCTGACATTTCATCCATCCATTAACAACAGCCTTTTTTCCTGTAGAGCATTGTGGGAGTTGGAGTTTTTCCCAGCTGACATTAGGGTACACCTTAAAGAGATCACCAGTAGTGTGACTCACCAGACATACAATGTGAGTATAAGGCCAGTTTTGGCCGTGCATTTCACACAGCTTTCTCCTTCCCCTTCACTGTCTTCATGTTACCATTTTAAAAATCCCATTCACTGTAGGAAACAACAACCGCTTCAATGCTAGCAACCTGAAACACACTAAAAATTCAGCAAAACAGTTCCTTTTGTCACTGTTTTGAGGGGACACTGTTGCTGCATCCTGGGATTAACAATGGCTAAGACAACTGTGATTGAAATACAAACTAGCGGTTGCTTTTTCCCCTTATGATAAAGTGCAGCCTGACCGTTCTACACAGCCCTGTGTCAGCGCTAGGCAATGGTCTAGTTGTGCAAGACTATGCTGCCAGTAAATTGCAGCAACTGTGTCTAATTCATTGAGTAATTGGGGTGTGATTGCTAAAAGCTGCTGCAGTTTGTACACTTCAGCACATGTGACCTGCACCACCCACCAGCCAGACACACCCACTGCATTTAATGTAACCATGAATATTGTTTTTATTTATGCTACCTGACGCATCTAAGCGTCGGCTGGATAAAAGGCTAATGATGAAGGCTAATGCTCTGGATGGTAACATGATTGTCTTCTACAGATTTACAATTTTGAATCACTAACTGATCTTTAAACCTTTAATCCTTTTTAGACTGTGGAACTCAAATGCCACAAATTATATTTTTTAAAAAGTAGGCTTAGTATTTGAATTGTGTCACAATCAGACTTGTGCAATATTTCTCTAATCTATTATACAGCAAACATGTACTCAAACGGTATCATCCATCGTAGTAAAGGTGGACCACAGTGTCTCTTTGTAAGAGAACATACCAAGTAACATATCCCCACTCGGTAAGAAAATGTCCATCCAATCTGAACAAATTTGTCTCAGCAGCACAGGATTTCATCATCTGAACAGAAATTCTGCAGCAGCCAGATACAGCAAGGCTGAGCGACAACAGCGGCACATGATCATCCTCCATCAAAGCTGATGGCTCAGATCAAGGGATGGAGGTTTGAGAGTGAGCATATACGTGTGCTTTGCATGTGTGT